ACCCTCACTGCCACTGCCACTGCCACCTCTGTCCTGCACTGTCACCTCAGCCCTGTCCCCCCTGCCCTGGAGACCCTCCCTGGCACTGCCACCTCTGCCCTGTCCTGCACTGCAACTTCTGCCCTGGAGACCCTCACTGCCACTGCCACATGTCCTGTCCTGCACTGCCACCTCTGTCCTGTCCTGCACTGTCACCTCTGCCCTGGAGACCCTCATTGCCACTGCCACAGGTCCTGTCCTGCAGTGTCCCCTCTGCCCTGCTGTGAGTGGCATTGTTCTCCTGCTCCCCCTGCACACAGAGGAGCCGATGCAGAGAACTCAGTCCCTGTAATTCCCTGTTTGTGCTCTGTAATCCCATTTCTGACAGGCCCGTCCGGCTCTGAGGAGGGAGGTGCCAGCCCTGGATGGCAGGGATGGCTGGACAGAGCAATCCCTCCTGCCAAAGGAAGCTCAGCAGAGAGCAGGGCTGCAGGATGATGAATGGCCGAGTTCCCGCTGCAGGAGCCTCTTCATTAACTGCTCCACTGCCTTTTCCCTTCCCTCTTTGATTTTCCCTTTGGCTCTGAGCATGTCTGGCTGCCTGCAGCTCCCTGTGCCCAGGATGTGCTGTTCTGCCTGCCTGGGGCTGCTGCTCCTGCTCCAGGTGTCCACCCCCCTCATCTCCTCTCCTCCAGCCCAGGATGCTGCAGGAAGGGAGAAAAATAAAGGGGAAGAGAAACGTAAAAAGAAGAAGAAAAAAAAAGAGATGAGAAAATAAAAGGAATTGTTTAAAAATCATTGGGCAGCACACTCAGGCACAGGGTGGAGTGCCTGTTGGAGTGTCCTGTGCAGGGCTGGATGATCCTGGTGGACCCAGCTCAGGACATTCTGTGGTTTACAGGTTACATCAGCACTGTCACCTTGTCCTGCACCCCAGGGGGACAGAGCCTGCCCAGGCCAGGACACCACAGCAGAGGGGGCAGCCTGGGGCCCCTCGGAGCCGAGGAGGGAACGTGTCCTGAGATGGCTCCCCTGAGTGCCCCAGGAAGGGCTCCTGGCACTGCCACACTCTCTGAAAAATCCCCTCGCCAGGATTTCTGCTCCTGGGAAGCTGAGCAGCCTCAGAGGGGGATGCAAACAGCAATGATCTGATTGCTGCTCCTGTGCTTGCTGCTTTGGGATGTGGTCTGGACATTGTTGACCAACTGGTCATTGTTTCATTGGTCTCACGTGAATTGTTTTAACTTAATGACCAATCATAGACAGCTGTGTTGAGGTTCTGGAGAGAATCACGAGTTCTTCATTACTATCTTGTTAAGCCTTCTGTCTGTATCCTTTCTCTATTCTTTAGTATAGTTTTAGTATAGCATAATATAATACAATATAATATGATATAATATAATATAATATAATATAATATAATATAATATAATATAATATAATATAATATAATATAATATAATATAATAATAATAAATTAGCCTTCTAAGGACATGGAGTCAGATTCACCTTTCCTCCCCATGACAGGGGACCCCAAAAATACCACAGGCTCCAGCTGCTGCAGCCCCGGGAGCCCCCAGGACCCCCTGTGTGTCCCCTCCATCACCAGGCCAGGAGAGCCTCACCTGCTGCAGCCCTGGGAGCCCCCAGGACCCCCTGTGTGTCCCCTCCATCACCTGTCCCTGCTCCTGTCCCTCCTCACCCCGGGCACACCCTGAGGGGCCCAAGGCTGTCACAGCTCCCTGGTGGGGGCCAGCACAGCTGGGACAGGACTGGAGACTCCATTTGGCATCTGAGGGGAGCCAGGGCCTGGAAAAGGGGAGCCAAGGTCTGGAGAGGGGAACCAAGGCAGGGAGACAGAGACAACACCTGCCTGAGGTCAGGAGATCCTGAGCAGCTTCAGGAGTGGGTGACAGAGAGCCCTGAATGGCCAGGGAGGTGCAGGCACAGAGTCATGGAATGGGTTGGGTCAAAGGGATCCTAAATCCCACCCAGTGCCAGCCCTGCCATGGCAGGGACACCTCCCACTGTCCCAGGTGGATCCAAGCCCCAGTGTCCATCCTGGCCTTGGGCACTGCCAGGGATCCAGGGGCAGCCCCAGCTGCTCTGGGAATTCCAGCCTAGCCAGGAATTCCTTGCCAAGATCCCAGCCCAATCTCCCCTTTCCCAGTGGGAGCCATTCCCTGGCTCCTGTCCCTGCAGGCCTTGTCCCCAGCCCCTCTGCAGCTCTCCTGGAGCCCCTGCAGGCCCTGCCAGGGGCTCTGAGCTCTGCCTGGAGCCTTCCCTTCTCCAGGGGAACATTCCCAGCCCTTCACCCATTCCACTGATGAAAGGAGAGGCCCGCAGGGAGGAGCTGAAGCTCATCAGGAGCGCTCAGCAGGTTCCTGCCCAGCTGATGATTTGAATGGGTTTGTAAATGACGGGGCAGGGGAGGAAGATGAAGGAGAGAAGCCGCGCTGGGGGACGTGATCCTGGCAATGAGAGGAGGCTGAGCAGAGGGTTCGTGGTCATCTCCTGCCGTCCCCTGCCGTCCTCTGCCATCCCCGGCCATCCTCTGCCATCCGCTGCCATCCTCTGCCATCCCCTGCCATCCCCGGCCATCCCCTGCCATCTGCTGCCATCTGCTGCCATCTAGCGCCGCCGGGCACCCAAACCCTCTCGGACCCCAAACCCGAGCCCTGCCGGGCCCTCGGACCGCGTCCCACAGCGGGTGTGGCAGGGTGGACACACCCAGCTGCACACCTGGGCACAGCTGGGCACACCTGGACACAGCTGGGCCGGCAGGGAGCGTCGAGCCGCAGCCCTGAACGGATCCCACATCCCTGCCTGAGGGTGGGATGGGATAATGGGATGGGATAATGGGATGGGATAAGGGGATGGGATAAGGGGATGGGATAAGGGGATGGGATAATGGGATGGGATGGGATAATGGGATGGGATAAGGGGATGGGATAATGGGATGGGATGGGCCCTGGGTCAGCCCCACTGGGCAGCAGCCCTGAGGCACAAAGGGGCTCTGCCAACTCCTCCCCAGCCTCAAGGGCTCAGTCTGAGCCCCCTGACCCAGTGTGACACAGTGTGACCCTGTGTGACAGTGTGACCCTGTGTGATAGAGTGACCCTGTGTGACCCAGTGTGACAGTGTGACCCTGTGTGACCCAGTGTGACAGAGTGTGACCCAGTGTGACCCTGTGTGACAGTGTGACCCTGTGTGACCCACCGTGATCCAGTGTGACCCTGTGTGACCCAGTGTGACCCAGTGTGACCCAGTGTGACCCCGTGTGACCCAGCATGACCCATTGTGACAGCACAGGCAGTGTGGAGGGGGCCCTGCCCAGGGCCAGAGGAAGGGCCTGTGATGGCTGGGAGGGTGGCACTGGTGGGCCAGAGTCCAAGCCCAGGGACACTGATCTCGAGATCAGCCCCAACCAACCCCTTCCCTTCCAGCCCCCGTCCCTTCCATCCTCAGTGACACTGGTTTCCTGATTTTGTTATCAGACTAAGAGGTGTTGGATCCTTGATCCCAGCCACATATCCACGAACCACCAAAGATATGGGGGTACCAGGGATCACAGAGCCCCAGGATCACTGAGGCTGGAAAATCCCTCCAGGGTCACCCAGCCCAAGCTGTGCCCAATCCCCCCTTGTCCCCAGCCCGGAGCTCTGAGTGCCCTGTCCAGGCCTTCCTTGGACACCTCCAGGGATGGGCACTCCAAACCTCCCTGGGCAGCCCCTGCCAAGGCCTGAGCACCCTTTCCATGGGGAAATTCCTCCTGAGGATGTTTCAGGGAAGACCCAGGTGTGAGACCAACAACTCCAGAACAGAGCCCAAGCGTAAGGACAGCTTGGGTTAAAGCAGCCTCACCCACAAGCTGGGGACAATGGGGACACTGGGGGCAAGGAAGGCCCAGAGCAGCTGCCTGAGGGCTCTCCCTGAACCTACATCATGGCTGGACACATCCCAAAAGGATTTTGCCCAGGTCAGATGGGATCTGAGAGGTCACACCCAGCTGGATCCCAGGTCACAGGACCCTGGGATCTGCCTGCCCTGGTGTGGGCAGAGCCCTGGAGATGCCCCTGGTGCCTGAAGGCCCAGGGGACAGGGAGCAAGAAAAGAGCCAGAGGAGCCAGGGGACTTTTCCAAGTCTTTGTTGTCATCTCAGACCCTGATCGAGCCGCAGGTCAAGTCACAGGAAAGTGGCACCAACTGTGCAGGTCAACAGCACCTTGGACGGAGGGGTGGGAGCCCTCCAGAACGCCTTTGTCACACCTCACAACAGCCCTGCGAGGTAGGAAACACCCCAGAGGGGCACTGAGGCACAGAGAGAGGCAGTGGCTTGGCCAGGGCAGGGACAAGGCCCCGGCATGGGCAGGAGTTCCCTGCTCTGGTTCCTGCTCGTGGCTCCCTCCCCTCGGAGCGTGAGCAGCTCCTGGAGCCTCTGCTGGGCCTGGCAGGAACAGGCAGCGTGGTGAGGGATCCTGAGCCCCTCAGGAGCACCCTGGGCAGCAGCTGCCACGGCACTCGGGGCGTTCAGACGCTCCCAGACAGTTCCTCCCTGCAGGTGAGCCGGGATCGTCACCTGGACCTGCCTTCCTTGTGCAATGGGACAGGAGGTCAGGGGAGCCTGAGAACTTGGATCCTTCATGGAAATGGCCCAGCACTGCGTGGCCCAGCCCAAACTGGGCACCAGGATTCTGTCATGGCAAACGTGCCCCCAAGAGATGCCCAGGGTGGAGCTGCAGGCAGGGGGCTGCAGGTCTGGAGGAGGAGGAGGAGGAGGAGGAGGAGGAGGAGGAGGAGGAGGAGGAGGAGGTAGCTGCAAGGACATCACGCTGTCACCAGCATCTTCCATCGGTGGGGATGGTCACTGCCCCAGCCACCCCCTCCCAGCCCTTGTGCAATGTCCAGAGAAGTAAAGCTGGGAGGGAGATTGGCCAGGAAGCAGTGCCAAGAGCTGTGGTGGGATCTCCATCATGGACACCCCACCTCAACCAGCCCTGGTACCAATGTCCCCTCTCCACCCCACCACTACAGTTTGTATGCTGAATACAAATTCTGTCTTACAAAAATAGTCCTCTGGTATCAAAAGGGTGACTAAAACAAGAGGAACGGGAGAGCCCTGTGGCCACAGCAGTGCAAATCAGGAGAGCCAGCTCAGGAAGGGGGGTCAGGGATTGTCCCAGGTGTCCCAGATGTCCTGGGACTGTCACTTCTTTGAGGAGAAGGAGGTGGATTGGACTTTGATGGCTGGGACTGGCCTGGAGCAAGAGGAAAGAGGAAGGAGACAACAGGTTTGAGTGCAGGCACCAGACACCCCCAGCCCCAGCAGCCCTTCCCCAGCTCAGGAATTCCTCCAGGGACACTGGCCCTGAGGCTGGCTGTCAGGAGCGGGTCCCCTGAGGTCCCCTGCCCCACACCCAGGGGAGGGAGCAGTGCAGGAGAGCTGGGAGCACCAGTGCCACTGTCAAGGACTTGGACTTTGTCCCCCAGCTCCAAACAAACCCCACATACATCCTCATTCCCTGGGACACAGGTGCCCTGTTGGAGTGCCCAGAGGGACCATGTCCTGCTCATCCAGGAGCCCCTGGGAAGGTGGAGTGGTCCCCATTTCCCAGCCCAGAACAGGGGTCTGTAAATGTCCTTTACTCACCTTTGAGGTGGCATCGGTCTGCAGGGGGAAAGATGAGAGAGCATCAGCGTCCGTCACTGCACTCCCTTATCCCCAACAGTCCTCATGCCCAGCATCCATCCCTGCACTCCCTCATCCCCAGCATCCATCCCTGCACTCCCTTATCCCCAACAGTCCTCCTCCCCAGCATCCATCCCTGCTTTCCCTCATCCCCAGCATCCATCCCTGCACTCCCTTATCCCCAACAGTCCTCCTCCCCAGCATCCATCCCTGCTTTCCCTCATCCCCAGCATCCATCCCTGCACTCCCTTATCCCCAGCGTCCATCCCTGCACTCCCTCATCCCTGCACTCCCTTATCCCCAGCATCCATCCCTGCACTCCCTCATCCCCAGTGTCCATCCCTGCTTTCCCTCATCCCCAGCGTCCATCCCTGCATTGCCTCATCCCCAGCATCCATCCTTGCACCCCTTCATCCCCTGCACTCCCTCATCCCCAGCAGTCCCACAGCTCCCCCCAGGTCTGGGCACTCCCAAGGGGTGGCATTCCCTCCCTCCCTCCCTGGCACCTTCCAGCCCCACCCTGGTCACCCCTTGGCCGCCCCATGGAGCAGAGGGTGCAGCCCTTTGGGGTGTCCCTCCCAGGGGACCCCCGTGCCCCACAGCCAGAGCCCAGCTCTGGGGGACCCCCAGCTCCCCGCACTCACTTTGGCGGCCTCGTGGCGGGGCTGGAGGCGCTGGTGCCCGGCGGCCTGGGGCTGGTGGGGGGGACCATGACCAGCAGGGTCTGTCCAGGGCCAGGGGGCAGCTCCTTGGCCAGGACGGGGCTGCCTGGCAGCGGCCGGCGCGGGGCTCCGTGCTTGGGGACCACCTGGCATCAGAGCACAGACAGAGCCCTTAGGGGACAGCCAGAGAGCCCCAGAGAGCTTGGGGACCACCTGGCATCAGAGCACAGACAGAGCCCTTAGGGGACAGCCAGAGAGCCCCAGAGAGCTTGGGGACCACCTGGCATCAGAGCAGAGACAGAGCCCTTAGGGGACAGCCAGAGAGCCCCAGAGAGCTTGGGGACCACCTGGCATCAGAGCACAGACAGAGCCCTTAGGGGACAGCCAGAGAGCCCCAGAGAGCTTGGGGACCACCTGGCATCAGCCCTTAGGGGGAAGCCAGGGAGCCCAGCAGAGCTTGGGGGCCACCTGGCATGGCAGAGGGCACAGGAGACACAGAGCCCTTAGGGGAGCAGCCAGGGAGCCCACTGACCTCCCTCCCCCTGCAGAGCCCCACAAACCTCCCTCCCTGCAGAGCTTTGGGGCCACCTGGCATCAGAGGGCACAGCAGGGACACAGCCCTTAGACAGGCATCCAGGGAGCCCCACAGAGCTCCCTGCAGAGCTTGGGGGCCACCTGGCATCAGAGCAGTAACAGAGCCCTTAGGGGGGCATCCAGGGAGCCCCACAGAACTCCCTCCCCCTGCAGAGCTGAGATCCTTCAAAGCACAGAACAACGCCCAAAAAAGCCCTAAAGCACCCTCAGGTGTGATGGGTCTCCTGCAATGGCAGCACAGGTGCAGCCTCAGGGGGCTGAAACAGATCCTAAACAGAGCCCAGCCCGACCCAGACAGGGCCAGGAGCTCACCTGGGCCTGGGGGGGGACACAGCTCACCTGTGGGGTCACCCAGCAGAGCTCACCTGTGTCTCCCTGAGCAGAGCTCACCTGTGGGGTCCCCAATGGGAGCTCACCTGTGTCTCCCCCAACACAGCTCACCTGTGGGGTCACTGAGCAGGGCTCACCTGTAGGATCCCCCGGCACAGCTCTGTGTCCCCCCCAGCAGGGATCACCTGTGGGGTCACCCAGCACAGGTCACCTATATCTCACCCATCAGAACTTGCCTGTGGGCTCCTAACAGGGCTGCAGGGCAGAGCTCACCTGTGTCCCCCATCAGAGCTCACCTGTGGGGTCCCCAGTGGGATCTCACCTGTGGGGTCCCCAGTGGGGTCTCACCTGTGTCCCCCTGACCAGAGCTCACCTGTAGGGTCCCCAGTGGGATCTCACCTGTGGGGTCCCCAGTGGGATCTCACCTGTGGGGTCCCCAATGTGATCTCACCTGTGGGGTCCCCAGTGGGATCTCACCTGTGTCCCCCAATGTGATCTCACCTGTGGGCTCCTGACGGGGCTGCAGGGCAGGGGTTTCCTGGGCGGCGGGAGCTTGGCCTGGGGGGCGCCGGCCTTGGCGGGGCCCGGGGGGGATTTGGAGGCCGGGGGCGGGGGCCGGGCGGGCCTGGGGTCCCTGGGCCGGGGGGGGATGCTCAGGGGGGCCGGGCGCAGGGGGTGCACCACGTTGATGGGCTGGGAGCCGGGCTGGGCCGCGCCGGGCCGGGGCAGGAACGCGCTCCGAGGGCCCTGCGAGAGGGAGAGGAGGAGAAAAGCACAGAGAAACACTGGGGGAGCTGGGGGAGCATCCTTGGGGCACCTGCTCCAGGTGCTCAACTGCAGCTGTGCCCCCGTGTCAGAACTGAGCACATCCCTCCGGGTGTCCAGAGCTGCCAGGACCCCGCCGGGGGCTCAGAGACCCTGGCACAGCCCAGAGCACCTGGGGCTTTGATTGTGACCCCTGGAGCAAGTGACCAGCTCTGTATGGGGACATGAAAGTCACACAGGTTTGAATGGTGTAATAACAAAATGATCACAGGGTGAAAATGTAGATTTTAGGATTTTTGGTATGGGGGTTATGGGGACAAGATGGAGGAATCTGGGCATGTCCAGCCTTTCCTCTTCTTCTTCTTCTTGTTCTCCATTTTCTGCAGTGGTGCTGGCACTTTGGGATTGGTTTAGAGTAGCAGTGCACTGCCTAACACAGGTGATGGGTATGGGAATTCAGTGTCAATATGTTATATTTAGAGTAGCAGTGCACTGTCTAACACAGGTGATGGGTATTGGAATTCAGTGTCAATATGTTATATTTAGAGTAGCAGTGCACTGTCTAACACAGGTGATGGGTATTGGAATTAAGTGTCAATATGTTCTATGTAGTTTGTAGTATAAAAGGACAGCACTGCCCCAGGGGTGGTCACAGTGCCTGTGGCTGCCCTGCTGAGCAGATCTGGGCTGGGCAGAGAGAAAATTTTATAGATCAGAATTAATAAACAACCTCAAGAGCGAAAAGTGAAGAGTCCAGACTCGTTCTGCAGCCACAGGGGCCGGAGCAGAGACACCCTGCACATCTGGGGGCAGCAATTAACAATTAACACTGAGGCCTGGGCCCAGGGAGCTGCAGGAGGAGCTCTGGGGCACCTCCTGGGGCCAGCCCAGCCAAAAGCTGAGCGTGGTCAGTGCTGAACCTGGCAGCTGATGGATGGGTTTGATGGGCTTGGAGATGGACATTGGAGGGCATTTCCAGCCTTCCTGAGTCTGTGATTCTGGGTTTGCTCCTCACCAACCCCATGGGAACACTCAGGGATGAGAAAGTGATGGAGACCCAGAGCAGGGTCAGCTCTGCTGAATCCAGATTTCCAACAGGGGGGAGACATCCAAAAAACTTGAATTCTTCCTAAATTCAGCCCTGCTGCCCAAAAAGCACCAATGCAGGTTCAAAGCTAAAAATTCACTGAAGTGTAGCCCAGGATAAATAAAAGAACTTCTGGAACATGAGGGAATAGCCAAATGAAGGAATAACCAAACCTGCAGGAGCCAAGAGCAGTGACCCAAAAAGGAAGAACAGGACACCATAAATCAAACTGCAAAGCCAAAGACCAGCTTTGTTTGAATTTTGGGCTGATTAACATCAGAAAATACCCCCCTACCCCCACCACAGGCTGTGATCATCACTCCCATCTATCCCTTTTCCATATGGGAAGTTTCCCAGTGGAGGTTCCTGGTGATAACCAGGGGAGTTTGAGCTCAACAAACTCAGTTTTAGGAGGGATGGGCACACCTGGCCATGGGCTCAGTGCAGACATGGGGCAGGACCAGCACACGGCACCAGGGCTTGCCCAGCTCCTGGGAGCAGATGTGATATCCACAGGCTTCACATCCCAGCAGGGAATCAAACCTGGCAGCTGAGTTATCCCTGACCCTGGTGAGTTATCCCTGACCCTGGTGAGTTATCCCTGACCCTACTGAGTTATTACTGACCTTAGAGGGGTGGCTGGAGGCTGAAATGTTCCTCAGGGTGAAAGCAGCTTTGGCATGGGCACTGCTCGACTTCCGACCCACAGACTTGTTCCTGCTGGGAATTTGGGACATGGCAAAATAAAGCAACCAGGGGAGCACCAGTGCCCCAAAAACACTGCCCTGTCTCAGGTAACTCCTCGTTAACAGCCAGCCCTCACTGCTGGGGAACAGGGATGCTCAGTGTGTGACAGGGATGGTCAGACTGGGATGGGCAGCAGGGATGGTCAGTGTTTGGAGCAGGGATGCTCAGTGTGTGATGGGCAGCCTACAAGGAATGAGAATTCTCCTTGATTCCAGGCCACCCCCACCCCTCCCTGGGAATGCCCAGAGGACAGGACACCCCTCCCTGTTCCTGTCCTGGGCTCAGGGAATTGCTGAGAGCCCTGGGTTTCCCAGGTCAGTCCGTGCAGCCCCCAGAGCAGCTCTCACACTGCAGCAGGGCTCTGGGTTTCCCGGGTCAGTCTGTGCAGCCCCCAGAGCAGCTCTGACACTGCAGGGCTCTGGGTTTCCCAGGTCAGTCTGTGCAGCCCCCAGAGCAGCTCTGACACTGCAGGGCTCTGGGTTTCCCGGGTCAGTCTGTGCAGCCCCCAGAGCAGCTCTCACACTGCAGGGCTCTGGGTTTCCCAGGTCAGTCCGTGCAGCCCCCAGAGCAGGTCTGACACTGCAGGGCTCTGGGTTTCCCAGCACAGTCTGTGCAGCCCCCAGAGCAGGTCTCACACTGCAGGGCTCTGGGTTTCCCGGGTCAGTCTGTGCAGCCCCCAGAGCAGCTCTCACACTGCAGCAGGGCTCTGGGTTTCCCAGCACAGTCTGTGCAGCCCCCAGAGCAGCTCTCACACCTGCAGGGCTCTGGGTTTCCCAGGTCAGTCTGTGCAGCCCCCAGAGCAGCTCTGACACTGCAGGGCTCTGGGTTTCCCAGGTCAGTCTGTGCAGCCCCCAGAGCAGGGCTCACACTGCAGGGCTCTGGGTTTCCCAGGTCAGTCTGTGCAGCCCCCAGAGCAGCTCTCACACCTGCAGGGCTCTGGGTTTCCCAGGTCAGTCTGTGCAGCCCCCAGAGCAGGTCTGACACTGCAGGGCTCTGGGTTTCCCAGGTCAGTCTGTGCAGCTCCCAGAGCAGCTCTCACACCTGCAGGGCTCTGGGTTTCCCAGGTCAGTCTGTGCAGCCCCCAGAGCAGGTCTCACAGTGCAGGGCTCTGGGTTTCCCAGCACAGTCTGTGCAGCCCCCAGAGCAGGTCTGACACTGCAGGGCTCTGGGTTTCCCAGCACAGTCTGTGCAGCTCCCAGAGCAGGTCTGACACTGCAGGGCTCTGGGTTTCCCAGCACAGTCTGTGCAGCCCCCAGAGCAGCTCTCACACCTGCAGGGCTCTGGGTTTCCCAGGTCAGTCTGTGCAGCCCCCAGAGCAGGGCTCACACTGCAGGGCTCTGGGTTTCCCAGGTCAGTCTGTGCAGCCCCCAGAGCAGCTCTCACACCTGCAGGGCTCTGGGTTTCCCAGGTCAGTCTGTGCAGCCCCCAGAGCAGCTCTCACACCTGCAGGGCTCTGGGTTTCCCAGCACAGTCTGTGCAGCCCCCAGAGCAGCTCTCACACCTGCAGGGCTCTGGGTTTCCCAGGTCAGTCTGTGCAGCCCCCAGAGCAGGTCTCACCTGCAGGGCTCTGGGTTTCCCAGGTCAGTCTGTGCAGCCCCCAGAGCAGGTCTCTCACCGCAGCAGGGGCTGTGCACCCCCAGCTCCCCCAGCCCCTGCCAGGCAGGGTGGAACCAGCCCAGGCTGCCCTGGGTGCAGGGAGGGAAGGGTTGTGTGCCCACCCACCTGCAGGTGCCGTGGGCCCTGAGCCTGCTCTCCTGGATCCACCTGGCCAGCAGGGAGTTCTCCTGGCGGTACCAGTAGCAGATGCTGAGCGTCAGGGCGGGCAGCAGGAACAGCGAGATGACCACCAGGGCGATCAGGATGGACTCGTGGGCTGCCAGGGGAGCACAGGGGCCAGTCAGGGGCTGGGACAGCAGCAGCCCACGGCCCATTGCCCATTCCTGCTCAGCAGAGCTGGCACATCCCTGCTGCTGCCACCCCGGGAAGGGAACGGCCCCTCGATGGCCTCTGGTGGCAGCGGGTGCCACCAGCCAGCCAGAGCTGGGCACACGCCGTGGGGCTGCCTGCATGTCACAGACAACTTCTATGGAAAATCCTTTCCTTGGGATTCTTCCTCCTGAGAAGCTGAGAGGCCTCAGGAACAAAATGTAACCAATGGTTATCTGCTGCTGTGGAATGCAACAGGTGCATCTGGGATTGGGCTCATGGGGTTGTTTCTAATTAATGGCCAATCACAGCCCAGCTGGCTTGGGCTCTCTGTCCAAGCCACAAACCTTGTTATCATTCTTGGCAATTCTATTCTTAGCCAGCCTTCTGATGAAATCCTTTCTTCTATTCTTTTAGTATAGTTTTAATGTAATATATATGATAAAATAATAAATCAGCCTTGTGAAACATGGAGTCAGATCCTCATCTCTTCCCCCATCCAAGAACCCCTGTGAGCACGGTCACACCTGCACAGGCCCCTCTGGGAGCCCCCAGCCCTCCCTGGCCCCACTGCAGCCCCAGAGACCTCAGGGCACAGGGACAGTGTGACTGTGACTGACCCTGGCTCTGCACAGGGACAGTGTGACTGTGACTGACCTCAGGGCACAGGGACAGTGTGACTGTGACTGACCATGGCTCTGCACAGGACAATTGTGCCTCACTCACCGTGGCTCTGCACAGGACAATTGTGCCTCACTCACCGTGGCTCTGCACAGGGACACTGTGACTGTGACTGACCTCAGGGCACAGGGACACTGTGACTGTGACTGACCATGGCCCTGCACAGGGACAGTGTGACTGTGACTGACCTCAGGGCACAGGGACACTGTGACTGTGACTGACCATGGCCCTGCACAGGGACAGTGTGACTGTGACTGACCTCTCTGCACAGGACAATTGTGCCTCACTCACCGTGGCTCTGCACAGGGACAGTGTGACTGGGACTGCCCTCTCTGCACAGGGACACTGTGACTGTGACTGACCTCTCTGCACAGGACAATTGTGCCTCACTCACCGTGGCTCTGCACAGGGACATTGTGACTGTGACTGACCTCAGGGCACAGGGACACTGTGACTGTGACTGACCCTGGCCCTGCACAGGGACACTGTGACTGTGACTGACCTCTCTGCACAGGACAATTGTGCCTCACTCACCGTGGCTCTGCACGGGGCCGCTGTCCACGCTGCCCCCCAGCCCCGGCTTCTCGCAGAACGGGGGGGCCCAGCCGGGCTCACAGTGACAGTTCTTGTTGCTGTTGCACACCTGGGGACACAGGACAGGGCTGGCATGTGTGCAATGGGGGTCCACAGGGCAGGAATGAACAGATGGTGACACAAGTCTGGGCTGAAGAAGCTTCAACCCTGACAGTGCCTCCCCTTGGACATCACAGAATCCTGAAATTGGTTGGGATCAGGGAAGGAGCTTAAATCCCACCCAGTGCCAGCCCTGCCATGGCAGGGACACCTCCCACTGTCCCAGGTGCTCCCAGTCCCAGTGTCCAGCCTGGCCTTGGGCACTGCCAGGGATGCAGGGGCAGCCACAGCTGCTCTGGGAATTCCATCCCAGCCCCTGCCCACCCTGCCAGGGAACAATTCCTGCCCCATATCCCATCTTCATCTCTTCTTTCAGTTTGAAGCCATTCCCCCTGCTCCTGTCCCTATCTGCCCATGTCAAAAGTCACTTTCCTCTTCTTTACAAGCCCCTTTTAGTGCTGGAAGGTGCCAGAAGGTCCCCCCAGAACCTGCTCATCTCCAGGCTGACCAACTCCAGCTCTGGAGCCTGAGCCCTGCTGGGCAGAACAAGGGGTAGGTGTGGATGTCTCAGCTGCCACAAAAGGGTCAGTCAGGTGTTTGATCTGTCACACCCAGAAGCCAGCAGTGCCTGTTGCCTCATCTGACAGAGCCCTGCACGCACAGAGCTCAGACCTGTGTAACCTTTCAGCTCTGGAGAGCAGCTTTCCTGCACTCCCTGAGCCAGTGCCCTGCCTTTCTGCTGTCCCACTTCTCCTTCCAGCTCTTCTCCTGCTCTCAGGGGGACCCCACGCCTGCTCCGAGCTCCAAACACTCTCCAGCTCAAACCAGACCCTGAGCCAAGCTTTGCAGATGGCCCTGACACCACAAACAGTCCTGTTCCTCTCGCTGGGACACGGCTGAGCAAAGGTCCCAGCCCCACTGGATGGGTCTGAGAGGCACAAATCCACTGGGTCCCAGTGCCCACACCTGTGGCAGAGCCTGGGGCTGGCTCCCTGCAGGTCCCATCTCCATGGCACACCCTGGGGCTGGCTCCCTGCAGGTCACATCCCTGTGGCAGACCCTGGGGCTGGCTCCCTGCCCTCCCCTGATGCCAGGGGCTCCCTGCAGGTCCCATCTCCATGGCACACCCTGGGGCTGGCTCCCAGCCCTCCCCTGATGCCAGGGGCTCCCTGCAGGTCCCATCTCCATGGCACACCCTGGGGCTGGCTCCCTGCCCTCCCCTGATGCCAGGGGCTCCCAGCAGAGCTCACCCCGTGGCCGTGGCAGCGGGACACACACTTCTCCAGCTCGAACAGGGACGCGTTCTGGCACCGCCGGTCCTTGCACACCTGGGGGGACACACGAGAGGGGCTGGGGTCACACAGGGACCTGGACAGGGGACAGCTGGGGGGTCTCCAGAGGGTTGGAGGGCTGGAAAATGCAGGTGGTGAAATCACATGGTTCCAGCCAAGGGATCCCATTCCCTGTCCAGAGCCCAGCCAGCAGCACTCCTACCCCCTCCACACACAGACCCTGCCAGCTCCTGGAGAAACCATTTCCATTTGGGCCCCAAACCAAGAGAAACCATTTCCCATTTGGCCCCCAAACCAAGAGAAACCATTTCCCACTTGGCCCCCAAACCCAGGCACTGGCCAAAATAAACAATGCTGCATTTCAAAACTGGCCATATTTCCTCATGGAAATGTCACTGCTTTGGCCTTCCCGATGAAGATTTCACTGTTACAATGCCAAGCAGGGAAGGCTGTGTGTCCACAGCCAGCCCTCTCTGGAACACATCCCTCCTGCCCTGTCCTCCAGCAGCCTCTGCCCTCTCTCAGCTCAACTGGCCCCCTCCAAAGCCCTAGCAAATGCAGGGGCTGCAGACAGCAGTGCCCAGTTAGCACTGGATTTGTCAGGTTGATTCCTGGCAGAGGTTTCCTGTTTCCTCTGGGAAACCATCTCTTCATAGGAGGAATCCTCAATCAAATCTGGGGGCAAATCCCACTGGGGTTGCTCCACTCTGAACCGATTTGGTGAAGAAGCTTGGAGGGCACAGAGAACAATTTGATGGACAAAACAAAACTGAGCATCTGCTGATGCCCACAAATGCCCCTGGTGAGAAGAACCTGGTGGCCCACAAACACCTGGTGGCAGCAGTTGAGGTGACACTGAGACAACACCTACAGGTGTGGAAGGAACCACTGCAGGGCCTGGCTGTGACACAGGGAAGGGCCATGTGCAGCCTGGAGCTGGGTCAGAGCCCAGAGCAGGGGCCTGGAGCTGGGTCAGAGCCCAGAGCAGGGGCCTGGAGCTGGGTCAGAGCCCAGAGCAGGGGCCTGGAGCTGGGTCAGAACCCAGAGCAGGGGCCTGGAGCTGGGTCAGAGCCCACAGGAGGTGCTGGAGCTGGGTCAGAGCCCTGGAGCTGGATCAAAGCCCAGAGCAGGGGCCTGGAGCTGGGTCAGAAACCTGGAGCTGGGTCAGAGCCCAGAGCAGGGGCCTGGAGCTGGGTCAGAGCCCAGAGCAGGGGCCTGGAGCTGGGGCAGAGCCCAGAGCAGGGGCCTGGAGCTGGGGCAGAGCCCAGAGCAGGGGCCTGGAGCTGGGTCAGGGCCCTGGAGCTGGGTCAGAGCCCAGAGCAGGGGCCTGGAGCTGGGTCAGGGCCCTGGAGCTGGGTCAGAGCCCAGAGCAGGGGCCTGGAGCTGGGTCAGGGCCCTGGAGCTGGGTCAGAGCCCAGAGCAGGGGCCCCTCAGCAGTGCCAGGGCAGGAGGGGCACTCACCATGCCATCCCCGCACTTGGTGCCCGTCAGGACCAGCCCTGGGTCGGACAGGTCCTCCTGGTCGTCCTTGGCGCTGTAGACGAAGGTGCCCCTGCACTTGACCTCGCGGCCCTTGAGGCGGATGGTGGTGTCGATGGACACCGTGTTGGTGCCCTGCGGCTTCTTGGCAGAGCTCTGGCACTGGATCTTCCCACACATGGCATCCCTGCAGCAGGCACGGCTGGGGGAGCTGGCACAGGCGGGCAGCAGCCCCCCAGCCCCACCATCCCACACCTGGGGCTCATGCCCATGGGTTTGTGGCCATGCTGCAGAGGGCCAGCGGGTTAAATCATGGACAGCACAGAAATGATGGAGGGAAACAGCCAGGGCAGGGGAGGGGAGGCTCTGACATCCCTGGAGTCACTGGGAACACAACTCCCTAAATGTGGCACTGGGAACACAGAGTGCACAACTCCCTAAATGTGGCACTGGGAACATAGGGAGCACAACTCCCTAAATGTGGCACTGGGACATCAGAGAGCACAACTCCCTAAATGTGGCACTGGCTTTGATTTCCCAGCAGGCTGGGCTGGGAGCTGCTCGTGGTGGGGCAGCAGAATCACAGGATTTGGACTGGAAAAGAGCTCCAGATCTCCAAGTGCCAGCTCCCAGCAGCGATGGGGACAGAGCCCAGGAGGACCTGGTGGCTTCCTGGGGTACAAAACAGGGCTGTCCCAAGGGCTGATTCCCGGGGGTAGGGCTAAGGCAGGGCCCCCCCAGTGGCTTGGCAGGGGTGGCAGAGGTGACAGGGACAAATGTGGGCACGGGAGGGGACATTGAGCAGCTGGTGCCAATGCTGTCCCAATGGCTGCTGCCTGTGGCAGGGCTGAGGTAGGGCCCTCCCAGTGGCATGGCAGGGGCGGCAGGGATGGCAGGGGTGGCAGGGGTGGCAGGAATGCCAGGGGTACAGGAGGGACACGGGGCAGCCAGTGCCAGCGCTGTGCCCACCTCTTGTCACACTTGACGTAGCGGCCCTGGCTGTCCTTGCCGCAGTTGCCGTAGGTGTTCCCTGCCATGTTCACGTCCTGGAAGCAGGCATCAGGGGCTGGCCACGCTCCTGCACACGGGGAGGAGAGCTCTGGGAAGCCAGGCACGGGCAGGGACCCGCAGCAGGAGCAGCACGTGGTGCTCAGGGACAACACACTGGGGAAAGCTCTCCCAGAGCTGCTGCTGTGCTGCCAGGCCAGGGGGGAGCAGTTCAGGAGGGATGAACTTCCCCATTAGCTGGAGTCTTGAGGAGGATTTTGGTCACAGAATGGTTTGGGTTGGAAGAGACCTTAAACCCACCCAGTTCCACCCAGGGCAGGGACACCTCCCACTGTCCCAGGTGCCCCAAGCCTCCATGTCCAACTTGGCTTTGCACATTCCAGGGATCCAGGGGCAGCCACGGCTGCTCTGGGCACCCCCCGTTGCATTCCCAAGGATTTGGGGTTCAGAATTGTCCCCTGGCTGTTGGTGTGGCTGTGGCTGTGCCAGGGCCCCCATGCAGCCCCCACAGCCCCCCGGGCACCCCCAGGCTCTGCTGCAGTGAGGGATGGGACTGACCTGGCCCCCAGAGCTGCACACACTGCTGCTGGTGGGTCATGCACACACCATTGCTGCAGGGAGGGACTGCCCTGGCCCCCAGAGCTGCACACACTGCTGCTGGTGGGTCATGCACATGAGAGATGGGACTGACCTGGCCCCCAGAGCTGCACACACTGCTGCTGGTGGGTCATGCACACACCATTGCTGCAGGGATGGGACTGACCTGGCCCCCAGAGCTGCACACACTGCTGCTGGTGGGTCATGCACATGAGGGGAGGGACTGACCTGGCCCCCAGAGCTGCACACACTGCTGCTGGTGGGTCATGCACATGAGGGATGGGACTGACCTGGCCCCCAGAGCTGCACACACTGCTGCTGGTGGGTCATGCACATGAGAGCTGGGACTGACCTGGCCCCCAGAGCTGCACACACTGCTGCTGGTGGGTCATGCACATGAGGGGAGGGACTGACCTGGCCCCCAGAGCTGCACACACTGCTGCTGGTGGGTCATGCACATGCCGTTGCTGCAGTAGGCCTGGCCCTGGGCACACGAGGAGCCGTCCAGCAGGTACACGTTGGGAGGGCAGTACGGGGACACTCCCGTGCAGAACTCGGGCAGGTCACAGGAGCCAGCGGCCTCCCGGCATGGCGTGCCAGCCACCTTCAGCTGGGGACACAGGGACAGGCTGGGGACAGGGGGCAGTGACAGGGGGACAGACTGGGGACAGGGGGCAGTGACAGGGGGACAGGCTGGGGACAGGGGGCAGTGACAGGGGGACACACACAGGGGACAGGGGGCAGTGACAGGGGGACAGGCTGGGGACAGGGGGCAGTGACACAGGGACAGGCTGGGGACAGGGGGCAGTGACACAGGGACAGACTGGGGACAGGGGGCAGTGACAGGGGGACAGGGGGCAGTGACAGGGGGACACACACACAGGACGGGGGCAGTGACACAGGGACAGGCTGGGGACAGGGGGCAGTGACAGGGGGACACACACAGGGGACAGGGGGCAGTGACATGGGGACAGGCTGGAGACATGGGGCAGTGACACGGGGACAGGCTGGGGACAGGGGGCAGTGACATGGGGACAGACTGGGGCACTGGGGGCAGTGACGGTGCCTCCTGGCACAGCTGGCACAGCTGGCAGCTCTAACACGTGACAGGTGCCCTGTGGGGCTGCTGGGGCTGTCAGGGCACGGGGACACTTTCTCAGCTGCACCTCAGCCACAGAGCTGCCAGAGGGATTCTGCTGGAGAGGGAGCTGGGAAAGGGCCTGCAGGGACAGGAGCCAGGGAATGGCTCCCACTGCCAGAGGGCAGGGCTGGATGGGATCTTGGGAATTGGGAATGGTTCCCTGGCAGGGTGGGCAGGCCCTGGCACAGGTGCCCAGAGCAGCTGGGGCTGCCCCTGGATCCCTGGCAGTGCCCAAGGCCAGGCTGGACATTGGGGCTGTGGCTGCCCTGGGACAGTGGGAGGTGTCCCTGCCATGGCAGGGCTGGCACTGGGGGGGCTCTGAGGTCCCTCCCAGCCCAGCCCATGCCAGGATTCCCCTGCAGACACAAGGTGCCACATGAACCCTGCCCATGGGGCACAGGGAGCGTGTCCCTGTGGACAAACAGCTCAGGAGTCCCCAGGGAACGGCAGGGCTGGGTCTGCACCTCATCCCATGGGCACGGGGTGGGCAGGGGATGGCACAGGGTGGCAGGGGGCGGGCAGGGGGCGGGCAGGCTGGGTCTCACCTTGCAGCTGTGGCAGCAGTCGCCGTGGGCACACTGGGCCCCCTCCTTGAGCGTGCAGTTGTGAGCGTTGCAGCAGGGGTTGGTGCATTCCTGTGGGGAGCACAGCTCCATGGGCTGGGGCTCCATCCCTTCCCCAGCACTGCCCCCAGCCCCTGCCACACCCATCCCAGCACTGCCCTGCTCATCCTGCAACGGGGAAACTGAGGCACAGAGGGCAGCAGGGAGAGCTGGGCACTGGGGGGAAAGTTGGGACTGGGATAGATGGGTTCAGGAAGGTGGGACTGGGAAAAGCCCTCGGGATGGAGGCCCTGTGGTGACAGCAAACCCCTCCCTTGGAAATGCCCTGTGCAGGAATTCCCTCAGCTGAGGAGGACCTCCTGTCCCTCCATGTCCCACGAGGGACCCCCTGTCCCCCCATGGCCCACAAGGACCCCCTGTCCCTCTGTATCCCAGTAGGACCCCTTGTCCCCCCATGTCCCAGTAGGATCCCCTGTCCCCCCATGTCCCAGTAGGACCCCCTGTCCCTCTGTATCCCATGAGGACCCCCTGTCCCCCCATGTCCCAGTAGGACCCCCTGTCCCTCTGTATCCCATGAGGACCCCTTGTCCCCCCATGTCCCAGTAGGATCCCCTGTCCCCCCATGTCCCAGTAGGACCCCCTGTCCCTCTGTATCCCATGAGGACCCCTTGTCCCCCCATGTCCCAGTAGGACCCCCTGTCCCCCCATGTCCCAGTAGGACCCCCTGTGCCCCCATGTCCCAGTAGGACCCCCTGTGCCCCCATGTCCCAGTAGGACCCCCTGTCCCCCATGTCCCCCGAGGCCCCCTGTACCTCCACCTCCCCGCAGTCACAGTCCTCCCCCTCCTCGCGGAAGCCATTGCCACATTTCCGTGCCACCACCAGGTCCTTGGTGTCGGGCAGGTTGAAGAGGCACATTCCCCCTCCCTTCTGGAAGTAGCTCTCCAGCTGCCTCCTGCTGCAGGAGCTGAACACCCGGGGGAAGGGGTGCCTGGGGGGGACACAGGGGAGCAGGGCCAGAGGAGGGGGGAATGGTGACAACTGGGAATTCAGCACATGGACGAACGCACAAACTGGCACAGACCCTTCCCAGAGCAGATTCCCCATTGCTCAGTGAGCCAGGAACACCTCCCACCCCAGCCAGACCAGCAGCCAGGGGCCAGTTCTGAACCCCAAGTGCTCAGGAAGGGGATGGGGGGCAGGCAGAGCCTCTGTGCATCACCCCTGGGACATCAACCCCCCTGCACCCCAGGTATGAGCCCCAGCCCAGCACTGCTGCAGTGTCACCTCTGCCCTGGGACAGCACAGACACCCCTGAGCCACAGCAAACCCCCTCCTGTGCTCACTGATGCCAGCCCAGCACTGCTGTAGTGTCACCTCTGCCCTGGGACAGCACAGACACCCCTGAGGCACAGCAAACCCCCTCCTGTGCTCACTGATGCCAGCCCTTCCTGTGCTCACTGATGCCAGCCCTTCCTGTGCTCACTGCTGCAGGTGTCACCTCTGCCCTGGGACAGCACAGACACCCCTGAGGCACAGCAAATGCCTTCCTGTGCTCACTGATGCCAGCCCAGCACTGCTGCAGTGTCACCTCTGCCCTGGGACAGCACAGACACCCCTGAGGCACAGCAAACCCCTTCCTGTGCTCACTGATGCCAGCCCTTCCTGTGCTCACTGCTGCAGTGTCACCTCTGCCCTGGGACACCACAGACACCCCTGAGGCACAGCAAACCCCTTCCTGTGCTCACTGATGCCAGCCAAGCACTGCTGCAGGTGTTGAGGCAAAACAGAAATTTTCCAGGGTAGAAATCTATTTCGGTTTAGGTGAAATGTGCATTTTTGAGTTGAGTCTGTGGTTAGAAACCATAGCCATTTAGCCTGACTGCAAAGCCTAGGCTCAGAGAAACTACTTCAGAGAAGGACAGAGATAAGGGGTGGGGGAGACAGAAGGTGATAGAGAGAGACAGAGAGACTGCTGTGAGAGCAGGTCAACCTGACCTAGGAGTTCTTTCTGATAAAGAAGAACTAGCGGGAAAATGTCATGTGAAATTCATAAAAATGAGTATGTATGAACCTATTGTGAAATTGTATGCATATGTATTTGAGAGGGGGATAAAAAGAGACCTGGAGTTCCCCGAGGTACACATGTCATTTTAGGGGAACGATTCCCACATGTGTCCAGGGCTGTAATAAACATACAGGCTTTACAACTGTCACAAAAGGTGTGGAGCTTTGATTATCTCCACAAAACATTGTCACCTCTGCCCTGGGACACCACAGACACCCCTGAGCCATAGCAAACCCCTTCCTGTGCTCATTGAAGCACACAGCAAACACCCACCTGGGCCACTGAAATACAGCTGAGATGGGTGAACATCACTTAAAATTAAAGAAATACGGGAAAAAATACCAAAAAGGACCCAGAGAGCAGCAAAAAATAAAATAGTCAGAACCTACAGTGTGTAAGGAAGTGAGGAACAGGACAAACATTAATTTTCTACAGAACCTCTGAGCAAGGGTCTTCTCTAATTTCACCGTTTGTGGGGGTTTCAGTGATTTATGAAGAAGGAAGCATCTCCTTCTTCTTTGAAACAGTTTCATTTCCCCTTAAAGCTGAAAAATATTTTCATAGCAGGACGTCTCATCCTCAAGATGACTCAGAGGACATTTTTTAAAAGTGGTTTTGAAATCTCTTGAGCTGGAGGGAAACCTGCAAGAGCCTGCAGGTTATGGAGGCTGAGCAAGCCAATGTATTCTACATGTATTTTTATGTATATTCATATCCATGGCTGTGCAAACACAGCCAGAACTGTGCTTTTCCCCACCACAATCTGCCCAGGCTGAGGTTAAATCCTGTGGGATCAACACCAGCATCTGGCAGCCCTGAAACCACAAGTGGGGTCCCACTGTTCCTTCCTCATTGGAAGAGCAGGTGGGTTCAAACCCAGGGAATGAACAGCTGAATAAACCCTGCTTTTGCTCAGGGCAGGGACATCTGGGATGACACATCCTCAGGAGGGGGAAAATCCAGAGGGAGAAGGGCTGGAAAGGAAACTGGCACCAACCACATGGATTGTGAATCCCACCAGTGCCACCCTGCCATGGCATGGACACCTCCCATTGCCCCAGGCTGCTCCCAATGTCCATCTTGGCCTTGGGCACTGCCAGGGATCCAGGGGCAGCCACAGCAAATCTGGGAATTCCAGCCCAGCCAGGAGTTCCTTGCCAAGATCCCAGCCCAATCTCCCCTTTCCCAGTGGGAGCCATTCCCTGGCTCCTGTCCCTGCAGGCCTTGTCCCCAGCCCCTCTGCAGCTCTCCTGGAGCCCCTGCAGGCCCTGCCAGGGGCTCTGAGCTCTGCCTGGAGCCTTCCCTTCTCCAGGGCAACATTCCCAGCTCTGCCAGCCTGGCTCCAGAGCAGAGGTGACAGCATTCCCTGCCCACACACAGCACCACGGCCTGCTGGGGCTCTGGGGACACATCCAGGGCTCTGGGACACATCCCAGGGCATTGGGGACACATCTAGGACACACCCAGGGCTGTGGGGCCAGGTCCCAGGGCCAGCAGCACTCACCCGGTGGCCGCGGCCATGACGCAGCCGCCCTGCTCGGGGGTGGCCTCGGTGCAGCAGCCCTGAGTGTCGTGCACCAGGCCGAAGTTGTGGCCGATCTCGTGGGCCATGGTGGCGGCGGCGCCGATGGGCTGCTCTGCATGGTCCTGCCGGGAGGGAACGTGTCACCAGGGCCAGCACCGAGGGACAGGGCCACCCACAGCCGGGAGTGGGGCTGGGCACAGGAGGGACCACTCAGCCCCACAGGAGGAGGGGTTGGAGGAAGGTTCACAGAGGAGCAGTTGGAGGAGGGTTCATGGCACAAGTGGGGTTTGGGCTCCTGATTTTCCCCTCTGGGACTGGTGGGAAGCTCTTGGCTGGAGCCAGCTGCTCAAAACCCAGGGCAGAACCCAAAACCCAGAAACCTGGGTGCCCCCACCACCCTGCCCAAGGATCACAGGTCACCAAGGCCACCGTGACCACCCCATCATGCCCAGGGCCACCACCAGGAGGAGCAGAAGTGATCTGGGCAGAGGTGGTAGGAGAAACCCAGAGAGCAGAAGCAGGGACGAGCAGGGGCCCTCCAGCACGGGGGACAGGAGCAGCACAGGAGATGCCAGCACTGCTGCCAGCTGGGAGCTGGGGGTGGGAGACCTTTAGCAGCCCCTTCTCACCCCCTGTGCCCCTGGCCAGCACCTGAGGGGTCAGGAGCTACAGCACCACCCCTCACCTTCAGGCTGCACCCCAGTCAGGAGCCACAGCATCACCCCTCACCTTCAGGCTGCCCCCCAGCTCCACACCCAGCCTCAGAGGTGCTGGCCCAGCCTCAGGAGCTGCTCCTCCAGCCCCAGGGGGATCTCCCCCAGGCTGGGGTGATGCAGGGACCCCCAGCCCCCCTTACCACGCTGACCCCTCCGGAGTTGTCGGCGCTGCACATGCCCTCCAGCGGGGCCATCCCGATGGTGGTGCCCCCGAAGGTCTTCCCTCTGCCGGGCGGGAGAACGGGGCTAGCTCAGTGCTGGGGGCCAGGAGTGCCCGGCCCCAGCCGGGAGCCCCCCAGCGCCCCCAGGCAGGCACCCACGTCAGCAGCTGGGCGTTGTCGTGCCTCCTGCGCGCCCTCAGGGATTTCTTCCACTGCAGGAAGGCCCAGAGCGTGGCGTTGGCGTCGCTGCTCACCGCGCACTGGTCCCGCTCCGTCCACACCTCCAGCCCGATCAGGGCCACCTTGATGTTCAGCAGCCTGTAAAACTGCAGCAGGCACGGGTGGAGGGCGTGGGGGCTGCACTTCCCTGCACCCTCCCTCCCTGCTGTGGCATTACTGCGAGCAGCTCCTCGTGTTTCCCGTGGCTGTGTGACCCCAGAACACACCTGTCCCACACCCGCCTGCAAGCATGGGCTCCACAGGCACAGGAGCCAGCCAGGTGCCACGATGACATTCAGTGACAACGCCTCAGCGTGTCCCTTCTTTGCCAAAGATGCCAGCACCGATCCCAGGCAGAGGCCAGTGAACACTTCCCTGCTGAGCTCAGCCCACGGGGGACAAAGCCCTTCCCACCATGTGCTCAGAGAGCTCCTGAACTCCTCCATGGGTGGCCAAGCCCTGGCAGGGCTGCCCAGGAGAGGGGTGGAGTCCCCATCCCTGAAGGGATTTACAGTTATGTGCATGTGGCACTTGGGGACATGGTCAGTGCTGGCCTTGGCAGTGCTGGGGAATGACTGGACTCAAAGGACTTAAAGACCCTTTCTGACCTTAACAGTTGCATAATGCTGTGATTCCTTGCCCTGGTGACAGAGGGACAGTCCCTGGGGCCACACGAGGGCCTGGCAGGTCCCTCACCTTGTCCACGTAGTTTGCGATCTCCACGATGCGCTGCTTGGTGTGGCCCAGGTTGCGGTTCTGGTTCCTGTACTGGAGAGAGGTGAGGATGGGGAGGGGTCACAGGCTCAGTCCAGGGTGGAGACAGAGAGGGACCCTGGTTTTCTGCCCCCAGCGCTCACCAGGGTGTGATCAGCAACGATGAAGAGCTCCATGTACTTCATGGTCCTCCAGGCATCCCTCCTGGCCTGCAGGCAGACACAGGGCTCAGCAAAGAGGGGCAGCCCTTGGCTCTGGGCACCCTCCAGACACCACAGAGCTGCTCAGGAGGGACAGCTGAGAGGGGAAACTGAGGCACAAGGTGACACAGAACGTTTGGGTGGCTCCAAACGACCTCACGTCATATCCCACATGGTAGGATGCAGCACTGAGACCCAACCCAAGCATCCTCTGGGGTCTCCTGCCTAAATTCAAGCCACACAAGCCACCCACAGAGACCCCGTCACCCCCCCTGCCTGCACAGCTGCCCAGCTGCTGGGGGCATGGGAGCTGTCAGCAGTGCTGAGAGCCCCTCCAGCCCTGTGCCAGTGCCCAGGCAGATCCCGTGTGGCTTTACCCGGCTGGATTCATCCATGAGGATTCACCCAAGCGGCCTCAGCCCTGAGGATTTACCCGTGGGTGCCGTGGCTGGAAGAGCCGGGCCATGCCAGCCGCGGTGCTGCCCAGGTGCTGGCCGTGCCCGCAGGTGCCCCCTGGCACGGGCAGGTGCTCTGCTCGCTGCAGGAGGTGGAGGCCGGGCTCGGGGGGCCCCAGGGGGCTCAGGTAGTAGCTGGTGTTGCTGCTCAGCACTATGAGGCCCCTGGAGATGGGAACAGCCCCGATGGCTCCTGTGGTGCTTCCCCCTGCGCCCCCCCAGCCCCTGAGGCCCCACAAACTCGTGGCACATCAGCCTGGCCTGCACCCAAGCTGGGAGCAGGGACAAGAATTGGGGATCTCTGCCCAAACAGCCCCAGGACAAATAAACCCTGGGCACCAAAACCTCCCCCCTACAGAGCACAGAGCAAAGCTCAGTCTGGGACAGCTGCTCTGGGGAGCAGGGACCTGCCCCTCCAGGGATAAAATTCCTGGGAATAAGCTCGTGCTGCCAGAAATGTGGTCCCTGCCCAGCCTGCCCAGTCCTGGGGCTGGGAGAAGGGTGGGAGAAGGGTGGGAGAAGGAGGAAGGACAAGATGGGAGCCATGGGAAAATCAGCCCATGAAGCATTTGGTGCTGGGCTTGCAGGAGCATTGGAGCTGCTTGGGTGGTCCCAAAGGGGATCCCTGCAGAGAGAGGGAGCAGTGGATCCATCCCACCTTTGTCAGCTCCACAGCCCACCGACCCTGTGCTCTTTCCATCCTGATTCCCCCATACCCTTCTCCTTCCCCCATTCCCTGTTCCTTCCTCCATTCCTCGTTCCTTCCCCCATTCCCTGTTCGCCCATTCCCCATTCATTCCCCCATTCCATATTCCCCCATACCATATTCCCCATTCCCCATTCCTCGTTTCCCATTCTCCACTTTCCATTCCCCCATTCCCCTTCCCCTATTCCCCATTCCCTCATTCCCCATTCCCCTACTTCCCATTCCCATTCCCCCATTCCCCGTTCATTCCCCCATTCCCCATTCCCCCACTCCCTGTTCCCCCATTCCCCATTCCCCATTCCTCATTCCTCATTCCTCATTCCCCCATACCGTATTCCCCATTCCCATTCCCATTTCCCATTCCCATTCCCCATTCCCATTCCCATTCCCCATACTGTATTCCCCATTCCCATTCCCATTCCCCATTCCCATTCCCATTCCCCCATACCGTATTCCCCATACCGTATTCCCCATTCCCATTCCCATTCCCCCATACCGTATTCCCCATTCCCATTCCCCATTCCTATTCCCATTCCCCCATTCCCATTCCCCATTCCCATTCCCATTCCCCATTCCTATTCCCATTCCCCCATACCGTATTCCCCATTCCCATTCCCCATTCCCCATTTCCATTCCCCATTCCCCATTCCCATTCCTCATTCCCCATTCCCATTCCCATTCCCATTCCCCCATACCGTATTCCCGAGCAGGTGCTGAGCACGACCCAGGATCCACGGTGGCCGCGGACGTGCCCGTGGTAGTGGCAATGCTCCTGCAGAGAGACAGGGGGACCTTCCTCAGGGGCTGGGAGCAGCAGCCCACGGGCTGCTCTCAGAAAAGCTCCCCTTTTCCATGTCCCCTTTTCCATCTCCCCTTTTCCATGTCCCCTTTTCCATCTCCCCATTTCCATCTCCCCATTTCCATTTCCCTTCTTGTTTCCCAGCCAGGCGAGCTCTGTCTCCTGCACCGGGAACGGGAACGGGAATGGGAGCAGGGTCAGCCCAGGACACAGCCCGGGACAGAGCCAGGGACACAGCCTGGGACACAGCCCGGGACACAGCCCGGGACACAGCCCAGGACAGAGCCCGGGACACAGCCCGGGACAGAGCCGGGACAGAGCCAGGGACACAGCCCGGGACACAGCCCAGGACAGAGCCCGGGACACAGCCCGGGACAGAGCCAGGGACACAGCCTGGGACACAGCCCGGGACACAGCCCAGGACACAGCCCGGGACAGAGCCCGGGACACAGCCCGGGACACAGCCCAGGACAGAGCCCGGGACACAGCCCGGGACAGAGCCAGGGACACAGCCCGGGACACAGCCCGGGACACAGCCCGGGACACAGCCCAGGACACAGCCGGGACACAGCCCGGGACACAGCCCAGGACACAGCCCGGGACAGAGCCCGGGACACAGCCCGGGACAGAGCCCAGCGCCCGGCGCTGGAAGGATGACAGAGGGCGGTGGGGCCATGGGGAGGGCCTGGCATTGCTGTGTTTGTGTCCCGGGGCCCGGAGCCCAGCACTGCCGCATTCCCCCTGCCCCACCCGCAGCGCTGGGCTCCGGCTCCGTCCAAACCCCGAAGCGCAGAGGGGAGCGCCCCGAGCTCCACACCCACCGTGTGGTTGGGGGTCACAGTCACGGGCTGGCCCTGCTCGCTGTAGTGCGTCTCCGTGTAGCCCGGAGCCAGCAGCCTGCGGGGACACAGCGGGGACACAGCAGGGACACAGCGGGGACACAGTGGGGACACAGCGGGGACACAGCAGGGACACAGCGGGGACACAGCGGGGACACAGTGGGGACACAGCGGGGACACAGCAGGGACACAGCGGGGACACAGCGGGGACACAGTGGGGACACAGCAGGGACACAGCAGGGACACAGCGGGGACACAGTGGGGACACAGCAGGGACACAGCAGGGACACAGCGGGGACACAGCGGGGACACAGTGGGGACACAGTGGGGACACAGCGGGGCAGTGGGCAGCGGCTCCAGGGCTGCCGGCACAGCAACGCACCGAGCCCCTGAGCCTGGGCCCACCTGGGCCATCCACACATGCCCTGAGCCCCCTGAGCCCCCTGAGCCACCCACACATCCCCTGAGTCCCCTGAGCCACCCACACATCCCCTGAGTCCCCTGAGCCCCACTGAACCATCCACACATCCCCTGAGCCCCCTGAGCCATCCACACATCCCCTGAGCCCCCTGAACCCCCTGAGCCATCCACACATCCCCTGAGTCCCCTGAGCCCCACTGAACCATCCACACATCCCCTGAGCCCCCTGAACCCCCTGAGCCATCCACACATCCCCTGAGTCCCCTGAGCCCCACTGAACCATCCACACATCCCCTGAGCCCCCTGAACCCCCTGAGCCATCCACACATCCCCTGAGCCATCCACACATCCCCTGAGCCCCCTGAGCCACCCCCACATCCCCTGAGCCCCTGTCACCGCTGTGACCCCAAGCAGAGGCTGCCCATGGCCAGCAGGGACAGGGATGGCAGCAGGTACAGTCCAGTGTCCCTCTGTGCCTCAGCAGGGACAGGGCTGCCCAAAAAGTGCCCAAACTGCCCTGATCCAGGCATGACACATGCCATTATCCCATCCCACCCCATCCCATCCCATGCCATTATCCCATCCCATCCCATCCCATCCCATCTCATTATCCCACCCCATCCCTTCCAGCTACAGGAAAGAGCCAGAGCTGAGCTCACAGCTGGAGAGCACGTGGGGTGGGAGCTGGGGGAACACCAGGGTGGGCTGGAGTGACCCCAGGGGTGACAGGAGAGAGAAGAGAAGGAGGTGAAGAAGGAGATGACAAAGACAATGAAGATGAAAAAGATGAAGACAAAAAAGATGAAGACGAAGAAGAAGAAGAAGAAGACGAAGACGAAGAAGACGAAGAAGAAGACGAAGACGAAGACGAAGAAGAAGAAGAAGAAGAAGAAGAAGAAGAAGAAGAAGAAGAAGAAGAAGAAGATGAGGAAGAAGACGAAGACAAAGAAGATGAAGAAAAGGAAAAATGAAAAAGAAAAGGAAAAAAGACAAAGAAAAAGAAAAAGAAAAAGAAAAAGAAAAAGAAAAAGAAAAAGAAAAAGAAAAAGAAAAAGAAAAAGAAAAAGAAAAAGAAAAAGAAAAAGAAAAAGAAAAAGGTTTTCCTGCATTGCCCAGATCTGTGTGACCTTGCCCAGATGCCAGGGTGATGGCTATCTGCTGGAAGCCTGCAGTCCTCTGGGGGTGGCAGGTCACCCCTAGGGATGGCAGGTCACCCCTGCAGGGGCTCAGCCACCCAGAGAAGGACAAATGGGGCCAGGTTTTCCCCTGCTCTCAGTTTAGACTCAGTCTGGGGGTTTGGCCCTGTCCCAAAGGTTAAATTCTGCAGAGAAAAGAAAGCAGCACTCCCAGAATAGCCCTCCCGCCTCTCCCTTTCTGCCTTCAGCCAGCCTGGCCCCAGAAGTGTCACCGTGGGCACGGCTGTGGCTTCCCACATCCTGTCCGTGGGTGCCTGGCACCAGGGACTGCAGCCACAGCCCAGACAGCAGCCACAGCTCAGCCTGGCTCCTGCCAGGGACACTGGGTGGCTGCCAAGGCAAGGCCTGGCCAGCCTGGGGACACAGGGACACGGGGACAGGGACGGGACAGCTGGGCTGAGGATGTGGGAATGGCAGATCCTCCTGCCATGGCCAGGGAAGGGGCTGGGTTTGCACCCCAGCAGCAGCAGGAAGGGGATTCTGCAGGAGCAGCCACTCACGGCTGCTGGGAGAGGCAGGGAAGGGGGCAGCTCTGCCCTGCTCAGCACAGGACACAAACCCACCAGGGCACAGAGAACTGGGGCTGTCCCACCCCTGGCAGTGTCCTCAGCCCTGAACAGGGCCTGGAGCAGCCTGGGCTGGTGGCAGGTGTCCCTGCCGTGGCAGGGGTGGCACTGCATCTTCAAGGTCCCTTCCAGCCCAAACCACTCTGGGCTTCTGGGGCTCTGTAAAATGCCACGAGGTCTCAGGCAGAGGGACAAGGAGGGCAGGGCAGGACAGATGGACACAAGTCCTGTCCGTGTCCCAGGGGAGGGGAGTGTCCTTGTCCCAGGCTGGGTGAGTGGCACAGGGCACAGGGGACAGGAGCTGCTGCCACCTGCATCCAAACTGACCCGGAGCAGGAGCCCAGAAGGAGGTGAGCAAGGTGGCAAAAGGAGCATTCCAGCCCAAATGGAGCCAAACTCACCCAGAGCAGGAGCCCAGAAGGAGGTGAGCAAGGTGGCAAAAGCAGCATTCCAGCCCAAATGGAGCCAAACTGACCCAGAGCAGGAGCCCAGAAGGAGGTGAGCAAGGTGGCAAAAGCAGCATTCCAGCCCAAATGGAGCCAAACTGACCCAGAGCAGGAGCCCAGAAGGAGGTGAGCAAGGTGGCAAAAGCAGCATTCCAGCCCAAATGGAGCCAAACTGACCCAGAGCAGGAGCCCAGAAGGAGGTGAGCAAGGTGGCAAAAGCAGCATTCCAGCCCAAATGGAGCCACGCGGGGCTGTCCCCTCCCCTGCTGGCCACAACCCTGCCAGCCCAGGTGGGTCCCTGGCAGGGTGCCCCGTGTCCCCTCCCCAGCCCCACACTCACTGGTTCCTCTCCAGCACCAGCACGAGCTCTTTGCCCTCAGCTGTCACAGCCACCTCTGCCCGGGCAGGTGCCACCACCTGCAAGGAAAGGAGGGATGGGCTCAGCATTGGTCCCTCTGCCCAGAACCTTCCTCTGCTCCCAGCTCCAGGTGCATCCCAGCCTCTCCTCCCGGGGTGTGCTCCGCCCTGCCACAGGGAAGGTGATGTCCCTGCACCCCCAGCCAGCAGGGATAATGGGGGAGTCACGGGAGGAAAATGGGGGATTCAGAGCAGAGATAAGAGGGGAGTCACGGGAGGATAATGGGGAGTCACAGGGGGTAATGGGGGAGTCACAGGAGGATAATGGGGGATTCAGAGCAGGGATAACGGGGGATTCCCAGGAGGATAATGGGGGAGTCACAGGAGGGTAACAGGGGATTCAGAGTAGGGATAACAGGGGATTCCCAGGAGGATAACAGAGGATTCACGGGAAATTCAGGGGTGAGGCAGCAGATCCAGCTCTGCTGGCAGCTACCCCAGGGAAAGGCAGAACAGGATGGCCCCTGGGATGAGGAGCAGCACCAGGAGCACCCTGAGCAGGGTCTCTGAGTGCTCCATCCCAGCACGGCCCTGCCCCACTGCAGAGGCTGATCCAGGGAAGGACCCTCAGCCCTGGGAGGGTCGGTGCCCTGGGGGGATGGAAATCACCACCAAGGCCCACCTGGGCTCTGGATGAGGGCCGTTAAAAATACCTCAGACCAGCGGGCAGAGAAAGGAAACAGTGACTCAGCTTCCCCAGGATGCCGGCGGCTTTACTCATTCTTTACTCATTCCCTCTCTTTGGAGGGCGTTAAAGAGGAATCTGGCTCTGGAGCCAGCCCAGCTGTGTGTGACAGGATGGCCAGAGCCCCACAGTGCTGCCCTTCCCTGTGTCCCCTCTCTGGGGACACTGAAAGCATGGCCCTGCCTGCTGTCCATGGCCTGGACAGTCCCTGAGCTCTGAGGTGCCCCTCAGGCTGTCCCCATCCATGGGGCACACAGGGAGCCCAGCGGGCTGCCAGCCCTCGGGACCTGCCATGGCTGTGGGCCTGGCCAGCTCTTCCTGGCTCTGCAGGGAAAGGGGACAGAGGAAGGAGCCGTCCCTGGCTCTGCAGGGAAAGGGGACAGAGGAAGGAGCCGTCCCCACAAGGCCCCAGCCCTGGCTGCCCTTGGCATCCCATCTCTGCAGTGGAACTCAAGGATCGCAGCAGGGAGGGGCAGAGCTGGGTGATTCACGGCCCGGGATGAAGCAGAGGTTAAATCCCGTTCCCCAGTTCCTGTGGAGTTGGCTGTGCCGCTGCTCCTGCAGCCCAGCCCCCTGCCCTGGCTCTGGGGGACACCAGGGGAGCCTGCCCTGAGCTCGGGACAGAGGGACAGAGGGACAGAGGGACAGAGGGACAGAGGGACAGAGGGACAGAGCATGTGGGGTGCAGAGCAGCGGGGTGCCGGCATGCCGCCCCCGGGCTGGGGTTTTACTGCCGGGGGGCAGCTCCTGCACACCCACCGAGGGCAGCCCAGACAGCGCTCAGGCTGCCCGCGGGGGGCTGCGGCTCCGAGGAGCCCCCGGGGCAGGCTCAGAGGGCAGCGAGGGGCCGCTCCTGCCGGGCGGGATAAGGGGATGGAGACGGGAGGGAGCCGGGATGGAGCCAGGAACGGGAATGGAGCCAGGATAGAGCTGGGATAGAGATGGGAATGGGGATGGAGCCGGGATGCGGGGATGGAACAGAGATGCGAGAATAGAGCTGGGAGCAGGGATTGAGCCGGGAACGGGGATGGAGCTGGGAATGGGGATGGAGCCGGGATGGGGTGATAGAGCTGGGATGGAGACAGGATGCAGGGCTGGAGCTGGGAATGGGGATGGAGCAGGGATGCGGCAATAGAGCCGGGAACGGGGATGGAGCCGGGATGGAGATGGGAATGGGGATGGAGCCGGAATGGAGCCGGGAACGGGGATGGAGCCAGGAACGGGGAAGGAGCAGGGATGTGGTAATGGAGCCGGGAGCGGCGCTGGAGCTGGGAGCCGGGCTGGAGCCGGGAGCGGGGCTGGATTAGGGATGTGGTAAATGGAGCCGGGAGCGGGGATGCAGCCAGGATGCAGGGCTGGAGCCGGGAGCGGGGCTGGAGCCGGGAGCGGGGCTGGAGCCGGGAACGGGGATGCAGCCAGGATGGAGCAGGGAACGGGGATGGAGCAAGGATGGGGTGATGGAGCCAGGATGGAGCCAGGATGCAGGGCTGGAGCCGGGAGCGGGGAACGGGGCTGGAGCCGGGAGCGGGGCGGGAGCTGCAGCCGGGCTGGCTGAGCCCCTCTCCGGCTCCGTGTGCCCAGCTCCAAGCAGGGCGAGCAGCCCCGGCGCTGTCGGAACACGGGCCCACAGCGCAGGGAGGCGAGGCCCGGCCCCGGCACCTCCCGGCGGCTCCCCCGGCCCGGCCCGGCCCCGGTGCCCGAACCGAGCGCGCCCCGCCGGGCAGCGGCTCCATCCCCGCTCGGCGGCGCTGGGAACGGGCGGTATTTTTGGAACTCGATCTTGTACAAACATCGCTCTCTGGCCAAACATGGTCTGTACATTTTTCTCGCCGTTTCCCTCCTTTCCCCCGCCTCTTGCCCTCCCTTTTTCTCTCCCCGTCTCTGATCTCCCCAGCACCCGCTCCCTGCAGCCCTCTCCTCCTCCTCCTCCTCCTCCTCCCCCCAGGTCCCGGCCGGCTCATTCCCGGTTTAGAATTCCCCAGCAATTACTCCCTGCCTCGCCTCCAGAGCCGTTACTACCAAAATGTTCTTTCCCAGCTGCCGTCTTAAAGGGAACGTGCGTGTCCGGGTTATCCCGGCCCCGGCAGCTCCCATCCCATCTCCCAGGGGCTGGAGAACAAACGGGTGTCCCCTCCCCGGCAGGGCATGCACCACCAGCTCTCCTCCTCCCATGCCTCAGTTTCCTCTGGGAGCTCCTGGAGGGGCAGTGGGGAGCAGGGAGGGATCCTGGTTCCAGCTGGGACGGGCCCAGCTCAGCTCCTGGAGGGATCAGCGCAGTGAGAACAGGGAATGTGGGCAGCACTGGAGCCCAGCAGCAGCTCCGAGGGCAGGCAGGGTGATGGCACTGATTGAACCCTGCCCCTGTGCCCCGGGCTGGCAGGGAGCTGCCCCGGGCTCCTGCCAGGACCTGCACGCTGGAAATGATCCAGGAGCAGCTTCCTCCAGGTTCCAGCATCATCCTGGCTTCAGCTTCCTCCAGGCTCCAGCATCATCCTGGATTCCAGCATCATCCTGGCTCCAGCTTCCTCCAGGCTCCAGCATCGTCCAGGCTCCAGCATCATCCTGGGCTCTGCCATTGTCTCAGGCTCCAGCATCATCCCAAACTCCAGCATAATCCTCTGTTCCAGCACTGTCCTGGGCTCCAGCACATTCCAAGCTCCAGCAACATCTCAAACTTCAGTATCATTCCAGAGTCCATTATCCTGGGCTCCAGCATCATCCCAGGCTCCAATATAATCCATGTTTCAGCATCACCCCAGGCTCCAGCATCTCTCCAGGCTCCAGCACATTCCAAGATCCAGCACCATTTGAGGCTCCAGCACATTCCAAGTTCCAGCATCATTAGAGGCTCCAGCATCTCCCCAGGCTCCAGCACATCCCCAGTTCCAACATCCTCACAGGCTCCCATGACCCCAGGTCCCAGCATCCTCACAGGTTCCCAGCATCCTCACAGGCTCCAGCATCCTCACAGGTCCAAACATCCTCACAGGCCCCAGCATCCTCACAGGTCCAAACATCCTCACAGGCTCCAGCATCCTCACAGGCTCCAGCATCCTCACAGGTCCAAACATCCTCACAGGCCCCAGCATCCTCACAGGCCCCAGCATCCTCACAGGTCCCAGCATCCTCACAGGTCCAAACATCCTCCTGGATCCCAGCATCCTCACAGGCTCCAGCATCCTCACAGGCTCCAGCATCATCCTGGGTCCCAGCATCCTCACAGGCTCCAGCATCCTCCTGGTTCCCAGCATCCTCACAGGCTCCAGCATCCTCACAGGCTCCAGCATCCTCACAGGTTCCCAGCATCCTCACAGGTCCCAGCATCCTCACAGGTCTCAGCATCCTCACAGGTCCCAGCATCCTCACAGGCTCCAGCACCATCCAGGGCCCCTCCTGCTCCCTGATCTCCTTCTCCAGCCCCCATGAACAGAGTGCCCCAGTCCCCACAGGGCTGCAGGGAGCATCCCCTCTCAGCCCTGGCTGCAGGTGCAGGGGTGGCCCCTTTGCAGGCCATCCAGCCCAGCCAGTCCCCCAGGGGCTGGGAGGGGCTGCAATGATGGAATTGCAGCTGGGATGACTCTGCCTGGCCAGGCCCCAGCCTGTGACCAGCCCAGGGACCCTGCAGGCCCAGCTGGAGTCTGGTTTCACTTTCCACTCCATTGATGAGACAAACCCCAGGGCTCTTTGCAGAGGGCTGAGGGCGTTGAGCTGCTCTTCCCCATTTCCCCCCAGCTCCCATCCTGACCATCCTCCCCACGCATCCTCCCCTGCCTCCATCCCTGCTGGGACTCAGGGAGCACCGAGTTCCCTGGAAATCTCCCAGGCCAGGTCCCAGAGCTCAGCTCCCAGCCCAGCCATCTGCTCAGGCTGCTCCCCCAGGCCCTGAGCTCCCAGGGAAGCTCCCAGAGCCCGGATGTGACGGGGGAACGGGGATGGGGCCTACCAGGGATGCTCCAGGAGGATTTGCTGATGGGATCTGCAGCTGCTGGAGCAGCTGGGCTGCACCAGGGCCTCCCCAGGCAGCCGGTGCCAGCTCTGAGGCTTGAGGAGGTGCCAGCACAGGCTTGAGGAACACAGCTCCCAAGGGATTGCATCACTTGGCCAACCCCAGCAGGATCCAGAGAGGAACCTCTTACACCCACTGCTCTCTGGAAAAGCATCCCTGGGAGCCAGGAACATCCCTGGGAGCCAGGAACACCCCCTGGGAGCCAGGAACACCCCTGGGAGCCAGGAACACCCCTGGGAGCCAGGAACACCCTTGGGAGCCAGGAGCATCCCTGTGAGCCAGGAACACCCCTGGGAGCCAGGAACATCCAGCCAGGAACTCTGCTGGGAATCAGGAAGCAGGGCAGCCAGGCCCAGGGGCCAGGGCAGAGTTTGGGCTGGTTCAGAACAGAACTGGCAGGGTTTGCTCAGTGCAACCACACCTCACACAGGGAGAAGGGGGAAAGAAGGGGGAAAGAAGGGGAAATGAAGGGGGAAAGAAGGGGGAAAGGGCTTCCCTTCAGGGAGCAGGGCAGGGAAGTGCCCTCAGCACCCTGAACCACTGCAGGCAGCCCAATCCTCCCCTCCCCTCTTTCTCCCAGGGAAGAGTGCTGGGTCCAGCCCCATTTCCATCCCTGGGTCCAGCCCCATTTCCATCTCCATGTCCAGCCCCATTTCCATCTCTGTCTCTGGATACAATCCCCATTTCCATCTCTGGGTACAGCCCCATTTCCATTGCTGGGTCCAGCCCCATTTCCATCCCTGGGCACAGCCCCATTTCCATCCCTGGGTCCAGCCCCATTTCCATCCCTGGGTACAGCCCCATTTCCATCTCCGTGTCCAGCCCCATTTCCATCTCCGTGTCCAGCCCCATTTCCATCTCCGTGTCCAGCCCCAGTTCCATCTCTGGAAGGCTGGAAAAGCCCCTGGCAGCCCGGGCAGCCCTTGCCCCCATCCCGGGCAGGGCAGGAGGAGCAGCCCCCGGGCGGGGATGGAGGATTCAGGGGTGCCCGGGCTGGAATGCAGCGCCCCATGGGCGCATCCCCGGTTATTTCCAGATCTCTGCTGGAGGGCAGCAGGGGACGGGGCGGGGACTGAACGGACTGAACTGATCCTACAGATGAGCGCCGGCAGCAGCGGGGGCTGTGCCCGTCCCCATCCCTGCCCAAAGCCGCCCCCTCCAGCCCCGCCCGGGCCCCGCTCCCTCCCTGCCTGGCCGGGAACGGGAGCTCCTTGTTCAGCTCCTTGTCCAGCCCGGCCGGGTGGCAGGAGACACCGCAGCCCCGAGCCCCAGAGCCCTTAAAATCCCCTGAAACCCCAAAAACCCCCCGGGTGCCCTTTGCACCCCCGGCACCACCGGGGCACCCATAAATAGAGGAGCAGAAATAATCCTGCCCTGCCACGCGATCCCCGGCTCAAGTGGCTTCAACTTAAATATAGACGGGGCTGGGGCTGCCACGGGAAGGGGACATTTCTGCAGGGAGGGGACATCTCTCCAGGCCAGGGACATCTCTGCAGGCCGAGCACAGCACCCACAGGGGCTCTCGCAGCCTCGGCAGGAGCAACCAGCCCGGGTTCCCCTGGAAGGGCCAGGGCAGCCCGAAGCCCCCCCCGAGCCCCGCTGGCTCCACCTTTGGCACGGAGGGCTCGCTCGGAGCATCTCAGGTGAGGTGGCCCCGGAGGCCGCTCCCAGCAGGGCCCGCTCCGGCCCCTCCCGGCTGCTGCAGCCCAGGGCAAGGGGCCGCGTCCTGGCCAGGGTGGCCACAGACGCCTCATGCAGGGACGTGGGGACAGCGGGGGCGGCAGGGAGGGAGTGACAGCCCTGGCAGGAGATGCCCTCTGCTCCCTGCAGGGCACTGCTCCCAAACCTGCTGCACTTCCCCTTGGCTGCCCTCCCATCCCAGCCAAACCAGGAGCTGATGGATCACCTGAGCTCCTTCCATCCCAAACCAGGAGCTGATGGATCACCTGAGCTCCTCCTGTCCCAAACCAGGAGCTGATGGATCACCTGAGCTCCTCCTGTCCCAAACCAGGAGCTGATGGATCACCTGAGCTCCTCCTGGCCCAAACCAGGAGCTGATGGATCACCTGAGCTCCTTCCATCCCAAACCAGGAGCTGATGGATCACCTGAGCTCCTCCTGTCCCAAACCAGGAGCTGATGGATCACCTGAGCTCCTCCTGTCCCAAACCAGGAGCTGATGGATCACCTGAGCTCCTCCTGGCCCAAACCAGGAGCTGATGGATCACCTGAGCTCCTCCTGTCCCAAACCAGGAGCTGATGGATCACCTGAGCTCTTCCCATCCCAAACCAGGAGCTGATGGATCACCTGAGCTCCTCCTGCCCCAAACCAGGAGCTGATGGATCACCTGAGCTCCTCCTGGCCCAAACCAGGACAGATCACCTCCAGCTCCTCCCGTCCCAAACCAGGAGCTGCCAGGTCACCTCCAGCTCCTCCCTCCGAGCTCTCCAGCTCCCTTCCACTCACCCTGCAGCTTCTGGCCATCCTCCGCCTGTTTAATTAACTCACTGCTGCATCCCCTGCTTTCCTTGTTCATCACCCGAGGCTGGTGATGGATCCTGACACTCACCAAGCTTCTCACGGATCCTGAAATTCCCCAACCTGCCCATGGATCCTGCAGCTCCACACCCTGCCCATGGATCCTGAAATCCACACCCTGCCCATGGATGCTGAATTCCACACCCTGCCCATGGATGCTGAATTCCACACCCTGCCCATGGATGCTGCAGCCCAAGGGCTCCATGGTGTCCCACTGGGAAGGCTGTGGGCAGAGGAAGGAGGGAGGAGGCAGGAGGGGTTTGGGAGCGCCCTTACCTGCTCCTGCAGGCTGACGGCTCTGCGGGCACGGCCCCCCAGCAGCCAGTGGGGGGTGACCCGCTCTCCGTGGGACACTGGCCCTGGGGACAGGACAGGAGAGAGGACAAGAGCTGCTGAGCAGAGCCTGGGGGAGCTGCAGCTCTGCACAGCCCCAGCACAGCGACAGAGCTGAGCACCCACCAGAGCCTCCTCACGGGTGTTTCAGGGGATGGACCCAGCCCCAGGCCAGTGCCACCCCCAGTGCCACCCCCAGTGTCACCCCCAGTGCCTCCCCCAGTGTCACCCCCTCACCAGCCCAGCCCCAGGCCAGTGTCACCCACAGTGTCACCCCCAGTGTCACCCCCAGTGCCACCCCCTCACCAGCCCAGCCCAGCCCCAGGCCAGTGTCACCCCCAGTGTCACCCCCAGTGTCACCCCCAGTGTCACCCCCAGTGTCACCCCCAGTGCCACCCCCTCACCAGCCCAGCCCCAGGCCAGTGTCACCCCCAGTGTCACCCCCAGTGCCACCCCCAGTGTCACCCCCTCCCAGCCCAGCCCCTCAGAGCTGGCCCAGCCATAGTCCTGGAAGCTCCCAGGAGCTTTGCTCCCACCCACACCCCAGAAGAGGGGCCCAAATCCCCCAGATCTGCCCCCTGGAGAAGCAGCTGGCAGTGGGAGCTGGGGCTGCCCCTGCATCCCTGGAGAGCCCCAGGCCAGGCTGGACACTGGGAGCAGCCTGGGGCGGTGGGAGGTGTCCCTGCATGGCAGGGGTGGCACCGGAGGGGCTCTGAGGTCCCTCCCCACCCACAGTGCCACATGGCTCTGTGGCTGGTGGGCACTGTGGTTCTGTCACCCCCGGTGCACGCTGTGCCCGGGGCTGGGCTGCAGCAGGAGCTGGGAGGGCCGTGGCTGTCAGGGTTTGTCTGAGCCATCCCAGCCCCCCCGGGCAGGCAGCACAAGCCATTCCTTGGCTCCATCCAAGGCAGACAGACTTTCTAAGATTATTTTTTTCCTAAACAATGTGGCTGGATTTGACTGCAGCGCAGGGAGCAGCCGCTGATGACTTAAGCCCGGATGACAACAGAACAAAAAACGAAAATCTGAAGCTCCTGCAGAGAGGGGACGAGGCTGAACAAAAATGTCAAGGGTTGGGCCACCTTGCCAAGCCAAACGTTGTGAGGGAGAGCTTGGGTGGAATCATCTCGCCCAGCGAAGTTATTTACTCAGAGTGAAATAGCAGGGCTGAGGGCTCTCTGGTTTTATGGCTTGTTTTGGTTCCTCGTGCGGAGCTCCGGGGCTTTGGCTCGAGGGAAGATGAAGTTATTGGAAAGACAAAGGAAAAACAAAGGCGGAGCTGTGGGCTGGGAATTGCTGCCGGAGCTGGATGGGATCGGGTCACCCCGCCCGGCCACCTCTGTCCCCCGGGAGCGCCCGGCGCTATCGCCCGAGGCATTTAATCAGTGCCATTAAATATAGCCTGGAATCAGATTCCAGGAATAACTGCAGATAAGGGGTGGCACCGTCCCAGCTTCCTTCTCCTCACCTCCTCCCGAGGCGGAGCCGGGCCCCCTCCACCCCGGCCTCGCACGAGCCCATTGTCCGTGGGGAAACTGAGGCACGGGAGCAGCCCCGGCGGGGTTGGTGCCTCCCGTTTCAGAGGCAAGCAATAAACCCCTCTAATTTCAATTCCCACCGGGAGCAGGGCAGGGAGCTGAGCCTGCCCGGCCCCAGCTCTCTCCCACGGCTGGGGAGAGGATGGGACACGAGGGGCTGGGCCGGGCCTCGGCCGCGTCCCAAAAATCCCTCGGCTGGGAGATTTAAAGGATGAGATTTAAGTTACGATATTTTAAATTTCCCACTGTTTTGTTTGTAGCTTTTGCTGGGAATCTGAGAGACTCGGAGCACGAGACGGGGCCTCCGAAACCCAACTCAAATAAACCCAAAGGCAGCACAGAAAGGGTTTCCCACACCCCCCTTCTCTGGATTTCCTGGAAAACACTCGCTCCCAGCCCTTTTAGGGAGCGTTGTGGGGAACGCCGCCGCTGTGGGGTTTGGGATGCTGGCACCGCGAGCTGCGGGGCTGGGGGAGCCCCGGGGGAGCCCCGCAGAGCCCGATCCCAGCGGAGCAGGCAGCTTTCCCTTCCTTTCCCTTCTGCTCCCCATCCAAACACAGCTCTGGCCCCACCGCCCTCCCGCTCCCCTCCCAGCTGCTCTCTTGCAGTTGCTGGAAAACTTCTAGGCAGCAGCAGCAGCCGAGAGCCCGGCAAAGCTCGGAAGTGAAAAATGCAGTAAGAAAAAATGTGCTCTGGGTAGAGGAACATCAGCCCTGACTTCTTGGAACGGCTGGGGAAGGAAAGAGGGATGGGGAAGAGGCTACAGGGGGCCGAAGGGAAACGGGCAGCCCCTCTCCTCCTGCGGCTCCCGTTTAAAAAGCGATGGGAGCCTCGGGCAAAGTCTGGATTTCCTCACGGACCGAACGAGCCACGTTTCACGGCAGGACCCGCAGGGCAGCGCAGACCCGAGCTCCTGCTGAGAGCGGGGCTGGCTGGGGACGGGGGCTCTGAGATCACCGCAGCCCCGGGGCTGAGAGCGGCCCCGTGCCCGTGCCCGGTGCCAGCCCGGTCCCTCCGCGGCCAGCGGGACCCGCGGGGCCGGGCCGGGAGCGCCGGGACTGGAGCGGAGCCGCAGCGCAGGCTCGGGGGGCTCGCCGGGGGCAGCGAGCGCAGCCCGGAGCCCCCACCCCACCCCATCCCATCCTATCCCAATCCCAATCCCATCCCCAGCCCTATCCCACCCCTATCCCAATCCCATCCTCACCCCTATCCCATCCCGATCCCATGCCGATCCCGCCCGGTCCCCCCCGGCCCCCAGCCCCCGTTACCTGCCGGCCCCGCCCGGCCCCGCGGGGGGAGCCCCAGCAGGACCCCCAGGAGGGCGAGGCGCAGCCCCCAGCCCGTGGCCGAGCCGCGGCGGGGCCCGGGGGGGCCCGGCCCGGCCATGCCGCCGCTCCCGGGCTGTCACCGCCCCGACTCGAGCCTGCGGCCCGACCTCCTCCTCCTCTTTATGCCGCCGGTCCCTCCCCCGCCGCGGAGCCCCGAGCGCGGCCGGCCCGGCCGGGGGGCGGCGGGGAGGGGGCGGCTTTGTTCGCCCTTATTTATTGCTGTGTTTCTTGGCCCGGCCCGGCCGCTTAATGAGAACCAGACCCGCGGCTCGGCGGCTCCCAGGCTTCCCCCGCCCGCCGCGGCTCCATCCATCATTCATCATTCATCAGCCATCAGCCGTGAGCCATCGGTTCATCCATCATCCATCCATCAGTGTGTCCATCCATCCATCCATCCATCCATCCATCCATCCATCCATCCATCATCCATCCATCCATCCATCATCCATCCATCATCCATCCATCCATCATCCATCCATCCATCCATCCATCCATCCATCATCCATCCATCCATCCATCCATCCATCCATCCATCATCCATCCATCCATCCATCCATCCATCCATCCATCCATCCATCATCCATCCATCATCCATCCATCCATCCATCCATCCATCCATCATCCATCCATCCATCCATCATCCATCATCCATCCATCCATCATCCATCCATCCATCATCCATCCATCCATCCATCATCCATCCATCCATCCATCCATCCATCCATCCATTCATCCATCCATCCATCATCCATCCATCCATCCATCCATTCATCCATCCATCATCCATCCATCCATCCATCCATTCATCCATCCATCCATCATCCATCCATCCATCCATCATCCATCCATCCATCCATCCATCCATCCATCATCCATCCATCCATCCATCATCCATCATCCATCCATCCATCATCCATCCATCCATCATCCATCCATCCATCCATCCATCATCCATCATCCATCCATCCATCATCCATCCATCCATCCATCCATCATCCACCCATCCATCATCCATCCATCCATCATCCATCCATCCATCATCCATCCATCCATCCATCCATCCATCCATCCATCCATCCATCCATCCATCATCCATCCATCATCCATCCATCATCCATCCATCCATCCATCCATCCATCCATCCATCATCCATCCATCCATCCATCCATCCATTCATCCATCCATCCATCATCCATCATCCATCCATCATCCATCATCCATCCTCCATCCATCCATCCATCATCCATCCATCATCCATCCATCCATCCATCCATCCATCCATCCATCATCCATCCATCCATCCATCCATCCATCCATCCATTCATCCATCCATCCATCATCCATCCATCCATCCATCCATTCATCCATCCATCATCCATCCATCCATCCATCCATCCATCCATCATCCATCCATCATCCATCATCCATCCATCATCCATCATCCATCCATCATCCATCCATCCATCATCCATCATCCATCCATCATCCATCATCCATCCATCCATCCATCCATCATCCATCCATCAATCCATCCATCCATCCATCCATCCATCCATCCATCCATCCATCCATCATCCATCCATCATCCATCCATCCATCATCCATCCATCCATCCATCCATCCATCATCCATCATCCATCCATCCATCCATCATCCATCCATCCATCCATCCATCCATCCATCATCCATCCATCCATCCATCCATCATCCATCATCCATCCATCCATCCATCCATCATCCATCATCCAGCCATCATCCATCCATCATCCATCCATCCATCCATTCATCCATCCATCCATCATCCATCCATCATCCATCCATCATCCATCCATCCATCCATCCATTCATCCATCCATCCATCCATCCATCCATCCATCCATCCATCCATCCATCCATATCCCACCCCAGAGACAGCTCTCTGACCCTCAATCTGCTCCGCAGTTGTTGTTATTGTTAATATTAATTATATTGATTATTAACATCAGTACTTTATATTAATTAATATAAATGCTATTAATAAACATTTTAATGCTATTAATAAAAATGCTATTAATTGTAGAATCACAGAGTGGTTTTGAGTGGAAGGGATCTCAAAGCCCACCCAGTGCCACCCCTGCCATGGCAGGGACACCTCCCACTGTCCCAGGCTCTCCAGCCTGGCCTTGGGCATTTCCAGGGATGGATTTTATTGACAGCATCCACCCAGACGCACCAGAGCAGGAGCAGGGAGTGTGGGGATGCGGGATGCACACACTCCCAGCCCTTGGGGTGCCTCCCTGGGGCCAGCCAGCTCTCCCTGCCGCATTCGGGGCCAGGATTCATCAACAGGTATTAAAATCCCAATAGCAATGTTGATTAGCTGTAGTAATTAAAGCTTTGCAAATGATTTTACCCTGAAAACGGGGACAGCTGCCAGCCCCCCTACCCAGAGTGCTCCAGGGACCTGTGGCCCAGGGGGACATCTGGGGACAGGAAGGCACAGGGGCCCTCCCTGGGGTTTCCTGGCACAAAGGACAAACAGAGCAGAGCTGTGGCAGCAGAGTCAGAGCCCTGCTGGCACCAACCACAGCGGGTGCTGGGAGGGGCCCTGCGGTGCACCCTGCAGCTGCAAACATCTGCATGGAGGCGAGGGCTTCCCCATCAGCCTCCAGCCCTCCCCAGGACGGTCAGCGGCACTGAGCTGCCCCTCCTGCCACCACGAGCCCTCCCCAGGCACCTCAGGGAGCCTCTGGGGAGAAATTCCTCCCTGGGACGGGCTGAGGGCCTGCCACAAGTGCCCAGAGCAGCTGGGGCTGATCCAGTGCCCAAGGCCAGGCTGGACATGGGGCTGGAGCAGCCTGGGACAGTGGGAGGCGTCCCTGCCATGGCAGGGGTGGCACTGGAGGGGATTCCATGGAGTTCTGCCTTTCCTGGGCCTCTCTGCACAGCCCCAGCCCCCCCTGAAGCTTCACCCCACCCTGCAGGTCCTGGGAGAGGACACATGAGAGGAGAAATGCTCCAAAACCCAGCCCTGCCAAGAGGGACTGTGGGAGCGTGGCGGGAACACGAGGGCATGGCTGGGGATCAGCAGCCTGGCACAGCCAGGGACAGCCAGGGACACAAACAGGGCACAGACAGGGACACATCCCAGGGCACAGACAGGGACAGATCCCAGGGCACAGCCAGGGACACATCCTAGGGCACAGACAGGGACAGACAGGGACAGATCCCAGGGCACAGACAGGACAGACAGGACAGAAACAGGGACAGATCCCAGGGCACAGCCAGGGACAGATCCCAGGGCACAGCCAGGGACAAACAGGGACAGATCCCAGGGCACAGCCAGGACAGACAGGACAGAAATAGGGACAGATCCCAGGGCACAGACAGGGACAGATCCCAGGGCACAGCCAGGGACAAACAGGGACACAAACAGGGCACAGACAGGGACAGATCCCAGGGCACAGACAGCACAGACAGGACAGAAATAGGGACAAATCCCAGGGCACAGCCAGGGACAAACAGGGACAGATCCCAGGGCACAAATGGGAGCGGTGTCCCCAGCAGAGCGTGGCCTCGCTGCTCCTCCCTAGAGTGGGACATTTCTCCTCACTGCTCTCCCCTCAGCAGGGCAGCAGTGCCTCTGTTCCCCCAGGAATGTGCCAGGCTGTGGGACAGCCCTGCCCGGGCTGGCAGCAGCAGCTGGGGCTGCTGCAGAGTTATAAATGCCTTTTGTGGGCAGGAGCAGGCGCCGGCCCCATCCCCTGCCACCAGCACAGGCAGCAGCTGCACCCAGCCCGGGGCTGCAGTGAGGCCAGGGCAGCACGCAGGGAGTGCTGGGGACACCCAGAGACGGGGACACCCAGAGCTGGGGACACCCAGGGATGGGGACAGCCAGAGATGGGGTCAGCCAGAGATGGGGTCACCCAGAGATGGGGACACCCAGAGATGGGGACACCCAGGGATGGGGACAGCCAGGGATGGGGAGACCCAGAGATAGGGACACCCAGGGATGGGGACACCCAGAGATGGGGTCAGCCAGAGATGGGGACACCCAGAGATGGGGACACCCAGAGCCTGGGGACAGCCAGAGATGGGGACAGCCAGAGTTGGGGACACCCAGAGCCTGGGGACAGCCAGAGATGGGGTCACCCAGAGATGGGGACACCCAGAGATGGGGACACCCAGAGCCTGGGGACACCCAGAGATGGGGTCACCCAGAGATGGGGACACCCAGAGCCTGGGGTCACCCAGAGCTGAGGTCACAGACAGGAGAGGCCCTGGGGCTGTGGCTGCAGGCTGCTCCCCCTCCCAGGCATCTCCTGTCCCCAGCCATGGACACGGGCACAGGAGGGTGACCCTGGGCAGCCACAGCCTGAGGCTTCCTCAGCTCAAACTCCATCACTCCTGGCCTGGCCCAGGTCCCTCTGCAAGGGACACCCTCAGGTGTGACAGTCCCAGAACCAGGGGATTGTTGGGGTGGGAAAGATCTCCAGGATCACCAAGTCCCAGCTGTGCCTGACCACTGCGTGTCCCCAGCCCAGAGCTCTGAGTGCCACCTCCACACCTTACCCGGACTCCTCCCGAGATGGGGACTCCCCTGGGCAGCCCCTGCCAAGCACCTTTGCCATGAGGAAATTTCCCCAATATCCAACCAACCTCCCCTGGCCCGGCCTGAGGCCATTCCCTCTGCTCCTGTCCCTGTTCCCTGGGATAAGATCCCAAATCCCCCCGGCTGTGCCCTCCTGGCAGGAGCTGTGCAGAGCCACAAGGGCCCCCTGAGCCTCCTTTGCTCCAGGCTGAGCCCCTGCCCAGCTCCCTCAGGGATTCTGCAGCCCCTGCCCGGCTCCCTCAGGGATTCTGCAGCCCCTGCCCAGCTCCCTCAGGGATTCTGCAGCCCCTGCCCGGCTCCCTCAGGGATTCTGCAGCCCCTGTCCAGCTCCCTCAGGGATTCTGCAGCCCCTGTCCAGCTCCCTCAGGGATTCTGCAGCCCCTGCCCGGCTCCCTCAGGGATTCTGCAGCCCCTGCCCGGCTCCCTCAGGGATTCTGCAGCCCCTGCCCAGCTCCTTCAGGGATTCTGCAGCCCCTGCCCGGCTCCCTCAGGGATTCTGCAGCCCCTGCCCAGCTCCTTCAGGGATTCTGCAGCCCTTTCCCAGCTCTGTTCCTGCCCTGGCCATGTTCCCCTCTCCAGTCAAACACCTCTGTGCTGCTCACACAAACCTGGCAGAGCCAGATGGAGTCTCCCCAGAGCAGATGTGCCCCCAGTGCCATCGCAGGGACAGCTCACAGTGATGTCACACAACTCCTCAGCTGTGTCCTCTCCTCGGTCAGTCCCAGGGGCTCTTCCTTGGCCAGAGGAGGTCAGGGCTGGCTGCTCAGTGGATGAGTCAGGAGGGCTGGCAGGAACCAGCCAGGACAATTCATGGGATGTTCTGAACCCATCTCAGACTGGGGAGCAGCACAGCCTGGGGGGAACACCTTGGCATCTCTCCAGCATTGGGAAGTTGGATGGAGCCTCTTGGGAAGCAAAGGACAGCAGCACGTGGGCACAGGAACAAAATCAGGCTGGGTTTGCAAAGCCCCTTCTCCCCAGGAAGGCAGGCTCTCCCCAGTGCCTCATCCCCCTGGAATCTGAGCTCCTTCCAGCAGCATTAATCAGCGTGGCTCCCATTTGTCACGCCGAGGTCGCTCACCCTCCCGCAGGGTCCCATTTGGCAGCAGAACTCACTTTATCTGCTGATGTAGGGAGAAAAACATTACTAAAAGCTTGACTTTCAAACCTTGCTCGTGTGAGAGCCGGGCCTTTCCCATTTCCAGCCAGATTCCTGCCCCAGGCTGAATTCCTGCCCCGGCCCAGGCTGACTGCAGCTGGCCCCAGGAGCAGCCAGGGGCTCAGAGAGGCAGCACTAAGGAAACAATATTTTAAAATCTGCTCCACTGGAATAAAGTGGGATCTGCACTAATGAGCAGCCACTCAGGAAGTCATGTCTTCCTCAGGGAATTGTTTCAAGATTTCAAGAAAAGTGAATTATAATCCAGGATGCACTCATGGAAAAAATGAGATGGACTTTGGGGAGGGCTGATATAAAGCCCATAATAATTCATAATCCATCTAATTACAGGTGCCAGTGCAGGGGTGGGCCTGCATGGTCTTTAAGGTCCCTGGCAATCCAAACCATCCTGGAATTCTGGAAGAGATTTCCTCACCTGCTTTAGCACAAATCCTTCATCTTCTCCTCTCCAAAGCCTTCCTGTGGTGCTCTCAGTGACAAAACAAATGGGCCAAGAGAAACCCTGGGAGGAGTCCCCAGCAGGCACCCAGGCTGGACAGGCCATGTCCTGGCAGAGGGACAGCAACAGCGACTGCAGATGTGGGAACTTCCTTTTCCAAGGAAATGGGGCACTTGAGCTGTGTTTCACATCAGCACTGCAAGGCATTTCCATGGAAACCCTTCCAGATCCCAGCAATGCCAGAGCGTGTCCCAGACACCCCCCCAAGCCCCTCAGCCCCTGAGGGGACAGGGGGTCTCCATGGGAGGGGTTCCAGAAACACCCAAACCTGCTGGAGAGGGGTTCCAAAACACCCAAACCTGCTGGAGAGGGGTTCTCCATGGGAGAGGTTCCAGAAACACCCAAACCTGCTGGAGAGGGGTTCCAAAACACCCAAACCTGCTGGAGAGGGGTTCCAAAACCACCCAAACCTGCTGGAGAGGGGTTCTCCATGGGAGAGATTCCAAAACACCCAAACCTGCTGGAGAGGGGTTCCAAAACACCCAAACCTGCTGGAGAGGGGTTCTCCATGGGAGAGGTTCCAGAAACACCCAAACCTGCTGGAGAGGGGTTCCAAAACACCCAAACCTGCTGGAGAGGGGTTCTCCATGGGAGAGGTTCCAGAAACACCCAAACCTGCTGGAGAGGGGTTCCAAAACACCCAAACCTGCTGGAGAGGGGTTCTCCATGGGAGAGATTCCAAAACACCCAAACCTGCTGGAGAGGGGTTCTCCATGGGAAGGACCCCAAAAGCCCCCACAGGGCTGCCCCCACAGAGGAGGATCAGGACTGATTCCCTCGGGATGGAATTTACAGCACAAAGGAAGAAGGAGTGGAAATGGTCACAAAGGAAGAAATGGGAGGTGCTCCAGAAGGGAAAGAAGCCTCTCATTTTGAAATAAAGCACATTTCAAAGCAGAAAGTGGATTTTTGCACCTCTTTTCCATTTTCTCCTTTTCCATCTCATCCAGGAGGTTTCCCAGCTGCAGGTCAGGCCGTGGACACACATCTGTCCTACACAGCAATCCCTGGGGGTGCTGCTGATCAAAGAGCAGTTCTGAGTAACTGAAAACACAAATCTGCTCCAGCAGTGTTGACAAAAACCAGTCCTGCCCCAATTCCCCTTGCAGAGCCCTGCAGGATTCACCCAGAAGTCTGTGTGCAGTGGATTTGGAGGGGATGACTCCACTCTGGAACAGCACAAGACAAGCACAATTTCCTGAGTGTTTGGAGAGCAGTTTGGTGTGCTGGAAGTTTGGTGTGCTGCAAATGTCAACAGCTCCTTCCCAGAGCTGCAAACACCGCAAGGGAGCTCTGCATGCACAGGAGCTGCACCCAGCTGAGGGCAGGGAGAGCCCTGGAGCAGCTCAGGAGCATCCCCAGGGACACATCAGGGCAGGATGGATGGGAACACCCCCAGCAGCAGAGATTCCATCCCCCAAAGGTTTGTGCAGCCCTGCAGTCCCCATCCTTGGAGGGATTTCAGTGCCCTGTGTTTGTTTGTGGCACCTGGGGACACTCAGGGGTGGCCCTGGCAGTGCTGGGGGAGCACTGGGCTGGATCTCAGAGGGGTTTTGGAGCACAAGGCCCTCCAGCTCCCTTCATCTCCTCACTGAAAGCCTAAAGGCACAAATAAGGAGCTGAGTGGCCTTGAGCAAGCTCCAGGTGAGGCAGGAGCTCGTTGAGGCTCCAGCACCCCCAGTCTCCTCTCCCAGGGAACAAATCTGTCCTGTGTGTCTCAGGATCCATCAGAGAGCTCAGCCCCAGCACACTCAGCACCCTTGCTTCACACAAAGCTCATTTCCAGCCACAGTACAGAATTCCAGAGGCAAGGCAGCAATTCCATCCCTCCTGATCCCAAGGAAGTGGAATGAGCAAATTGCAGCTCCAGGCCAGGTGGGACAGGGCAGGGGTGGCACTGGATTCCTTCATCCCAAAGCAGGCTGATGCTGTGATAAACAGGTAAAACTGCATTCTGGGAGGTGGGAAGGTCTGAGAAGAGGAGCCACAGTCTGAGCTGATTTATCCCACCCATGGGATGGTGCTGTCTGTAATCTGCACTTCAAGTTCCATTTCTGAGACCAGACCAGATCAGGGAATCTGGAATGGGTTGGGTTGGAAGGGACCCTAAATCCCACCCATTGCCACCCCATCCATGGCAGGGACACCTCCCACTGCCCCAGGCTGCTCCAGCCCCAGTGTCCAACCTGGCCTTGGGCACTGCCAGGGATCCAGGGGCAGCCCCAGCAAATCTGGGAATTCCAGCCCAGGCAGGAATTCCTTGCCAAGATCCCAGCCCAATCTCCCCTTTCCCAGTGGGAGCCATTCCCTGGCTCCTGTCCCTCTGTCCCTTGTCCCCAGCCCCTCTGCAGCTCTCCTGGAGCCCCTCCAGGCCCTGCAGGGTCTCTCCAGAACCTTCCACCTCCAGGGGCACCCAGCCCTCCCAGCAGTTTTGGGTGTTCCCTCCCAGCTGTTTTGAGCTCAATTGCCACAAACATCTGAGGCAGAGAGAGCATAGGAAGCCACAGCTCACACCCACTCTGTTTTCCTCAGATGTCTTTTCCTGTTTATCCATCCTATGAACTGAGACTTGAGCTCTTCACAAACCTCCTCTCTGTCCTGCATCTTTTCAGTGGTGCTGGCGCAGGGCACAGCCAGGGGCCCTGGCAGGACAAACCATCAAATAAAAAAGGGATTCTCCCAGGAAAGCCCTGAAAGCTCCCACCAGCACCAGAAGTGTCTCTGCTCTGCCCCTCCTGGTCCCTGCACAAACACAGCTGCAGCAGTTATTACAACTCAGCTGTTTTATTGAAGTACAAAACATAACAAGTGAATTTTCTACACTGAGACAGGAATTTAAAAAAATCTAAAAATCCTCCTTAAAACCCATTGAAAATAAATACATAAAACTGCTATTCCAATCAGGGAGTTATAAATATATTATGAACCAAGTTTTTCCAGACTCTGTTTCCTCTGGAAGTGCCTAACACCACTATAAAACCCCAGCTATTTATTTAAAACCCTGACACTCCCCCCAAATCCCTGATTCTTACGCAGGGCAGGACCAGTGAGCACAGAAGGGAGCCAAGAGCACAAAGTGGGGCTGCAGAAGCATTTAGTGCCTTCTCCCTGTGCCAGTGCTGTGTGTGCTCAGCTCAGGCTGGCTGAGGTCAGCTCCAGGACACCTTCTTCCCCAGGACATGGCTGGTGATCTTCTGAGGGAAAAACACAGGGACACGGGTGAGTTCAGTGCCTTGAGAATTAAAAATGCTGAGCACAGGTTCTCTGTGCTCTGAGGGAAAAACACAGGGACACGGGTGAGTTCAGTGCCTTGAGAATTAAAAATGCTGAGCACAGGTTCTCTGTGCTCTGAGGGAAAAACAGAGGGACATGGGTGAGTTCAGTGCCTTGAGAATTAAAAATGCTGAGCACAGGTTCTCTGTGCTCTGAGGGAAAAACACAGGGACACGGGTGAGTTTAGTGCCTTGAGAATTAAAAATGCTGAGCACAGGTTCCCTGCACAGATTGCTCTGGAATCCCACAGGGGGAATACCCATGAGCTGCTGCTCCTTCCAGGAGCTCTCTCCCATTCACTGGGATCACAAACTCGCTCCCCCTCGTGGAGGAGCCTCGGCATTGGAACAAATCTGGGTCTGATAAACTCAGAGCATTCATTTCTGCTTCAGTGGGGCTGGGAGTTCTGATTGCTGCTGCCATCAGATCAGGGTCTGTCCCCACTACAGAGTGCAAAATTCCAGGGCACTCCCTGTCCCCTGATCTGCCTGGGATGATTTTCTGCTCTATTTGAAATTAAAAGCACAAAAGCAAAGGGCTGCTGGGACAGAGCATCAGCCCAGATCCACGTGCACCCTGTGATAAAAATAACTTTGCTATCCTAACAAAGAGAAGTATTGAACAATTTCACAGGTTAAGAATGTCTGTGCACTCCAGCCCAGGGATTTTTATGGCTCCAGTTCCAGGTGGGCCCAGGTTGTTTCCCCCTCACTCAGTGCCAAGAAAACTTCACATTATTCTCTTTTCCCCTCAGTGAGCTGCCCCAAACTGTCCCAGAAATGCCTTGAGACCAGCTCTAGTTTTTGGAGCCATTCCACAGAATCTGTGGTTGGTTTTTAGGCACAATGAGCCTCACTCAGAAGCTGGTGCTCTCAGCCCATCCTCACCAAACCATTCCCTGATTTACAGCAGCTCTTCTGCACCAGCAGGGAGAACTAAAGCACTGCAATTATTTACTGCCATGAATCACCACCTCCCTTCCAATCAAACCCATATTTATGTGCTAAAGTTCTGATCCTATTTCCTCCCTGCTTCCAGCCCACTCTGCCACTCCAAGTCAGAGACTGCCAGAACTCATTAATTCCTCAAACTTTACTGTACCAGCATCTGGAATTCTCAGACCAGAGCAAAAAAATGTCCTGAAAATACCCTGCCCAAGGATAGCAACAAATTAAAGTCTTTCTAGTGGTAAATTCCCCAAATTAGAGTAGGAAGATGTTTTACAGAACACATTACAAGTGCTGACTTTGAAAATCCAATGACTGCTGTTCCCAACAAACAGCCAAGCCTATTACTCCAGCTCTGGAATACTCCAGGAGTTTAACACTAAAACTGGAGTGCAAGTTTAAGGCCCAGAGTTTAAAGGAAAGGGCAGTTTTGGTTTCAGTGCCTGTCCATGCTCAGGGACACTGGTTTATCCCTTCCCAGCCAGGGGTCCTGGCTGAGCAGGGCCAGTGCTGGGCAAACAGAAACTGCTGGAAGCCTCAGAGGTAACCCTCCACCAGGACTGCAAGCTCCAGCCTGCATAAACTAAGGCTGACTCCAGGCTTTGTTAGGCATGGCTGGGGATTCCCTGAGCCAAACCCACAGCCAGGGCACAGGAGAGCAAACCCAGCTCTGGAAGGACACTCGTCCTTCCTGGGATGTGCTCCAAGACCCCCCTGTTCCACCCCAGGCCCTGCACAAGCCCTTGTTTGTATCATTGCACCAGCACCACCTTCTGAGCCATTTTTCCATGGAATGGGAGGCTTGCAGGAAAGGAAAGGTGTAGCAGAGCTTGGCTGATGAATGGAACACACCTGGGCACCCCCAGCACCTGGACTGCAGTGCCCTGGTTGTGAGGTGTGGCTGGGGGTGTGCATTCCTCCTGTCACAGCTGGGGCAGGTATCTGCTGTTCATGGGGCAGTTTTCTTTATCTCCTCCACTGCCAATCCCTCCTCCAGGAGATCTCTTCTGTTCATGGACCATTCATTATTAATTATCTGCTGTTCATGGGCCATTCATTATCAATTATCTGCTGTAAATGGGCCAGTGAGTGTCCGTGCAGGGCTGATCCAATCCCATCATCCCATGGGGAGATGCTCCGCCCAGGGGAGGAGCCAAGCATTCCTACCTGGATCCAATCTGAGGTTTGGGACAGCCCAGCAGCCTTTGCCCCCTGCATTGCCAGAGGAGCAGCTTCTGCTGCCCTGCATTGCCAGAGGGAGCCCAGGCCCATCTGCAGCAGCCCTGGAGCTGCAGAGGAAAACTCCCCCCTTGTGCAGGATCCCTGCTCCAGCAGAGCCACAGCTGGCACTGCAGGAGGGCTGAGCCCCCATGGGATGGGGCTGGGCCACCCCCTGACACACAGGGGACAGGGACTGCTCTGACTCTGGCAGGGGTTTGGTTTCTTTTTGTTTGTACTACTGCATTTGTATTTTTAATTTTCCTAGCAATGAACTGTTATTCCTATTGCCACATCTTTGCCTGAGAGCCCCTTAATTTCAAAATTACAATAATTCAGAGGGAGGGGGTTTGCATGTTCCATTTCAGGGAGGCTCCTGCCTTCCTCAGCAGACACCTGGCTTTTCAAACAGACACCCCTCAGCAGATCCCTGTGTCTGGGACTCCCTGAGGGAACGTGGCTCTCCAGAGGGGAGGAGTGTCACATACAGGTAAATCTTATTAAAAAAATCCTTATAAAATCAGGCCTCATTACTGTGAGATAAGAATGACAATAGTGAGAATCAGTTAGCAAAACAATCTGTTCTTGTGAGAAGACAGTTCACAGCTGTGGGGAGGAAAGTTCTACCCCTGTGAAACATTCACTCCCCAGGAGACAAGAATGTGAACACAGCTGGAAAGAGAAAGGTTTGATGGACACCTACACCAGGCATTGCCAGCCACTGAGCTGAGTTTCACTGAACTGCTGACCAGTTAGCTCCAGGCATGGTGCCTTCTGATAACCATACAAATGAAATAAAATATATATTTATATAATAGAATACATAATATATATTGTATTATTATATTAAATAATGTATTCAATTATATAAATATAAATATATAATAGAAATATAATATATACTTTTTCTATTATATTTATATTATATTTATATAAATATATTGAAATATATATTTTATATCAATATATATTTGCAATATATAAAATATAATATCTGTTATATAAATATGTAACATGTATATTTTTATTATAAAAATATATCTAGTATATATAATTATATATTAATAGAATATAATTAATTTTATATAATATATTATATAATATATATTGTATAATATTATATGTATATATATAAAAAATAAATAAATAAAATTAATTATATATTAATATAATAGAATATGAGCTATGTGAACAGAGATTTGGCTACTCTGCATGAAGAACAGAACAGGTGTCTTTGTCCATCTCCACTGTGCCAGGGGACACTCACAGTTTTGTAGAGCTGAGCCCTCAGGCGGTAGGAGCTGTACTCCTGCCTCCTCTGCTCCTCCTCCCTCTTCCTCCTCACCTCGGGGAGCTGCTCGTACATCCTAATGGGAGAGGAAAGGCAAAAACAGAGATTTGAAACTGCCTGACACTAAACACCACAGCTGCTCTACACAAGGAGAAATATTAGAAAAGAAAAGCCCTATAAAATATGGTTTAGGCCCTGCTACTTTAGCTATACTAGTAGCTAGCTTGCAAGTTCTTATGTGAAAAAATTAGATTGAGAATCAAGTTTGCATAACAATTTACTCTTGTAAAGAAAAGAGCAATAACAAAAGATCTGTCCTATGAGAATTTACAAAGAAAAATGTAAACACCTGAAGAAAAAAAGCATTAACACATACACACACACACAAGCACCTTCTAACCAATTATTGAGTGTTAAGAAGTTTACTAACCAATTAGAGTCAAATACATTGTCTTTAAAACTGTATAAATGTAAGCTTTATTGATGTATATTTATTTCTAGATTTATATTATTTTTATATTTATATATTTTCTTTACTTATTTATTTATTTATTTATTTATTTTAATATGAGCTTTATTCTGCCTGCATGAAGAAACTGAGTCCTGTCTGCTTTATTGCAACACACACCCTGTGCTTTATCCCCACATCCCTAAGGGCTGCTGGCCAAGCACATCCCTGACCAATGTGTTTGCAGTTTGCTGCTGTCCCACTGTGGGATCCACAGCAGCACTGAGCTGGGAATTCCTGCCCCTGCAATGGCTCTGCTACCCCTGGAACTCCTCTCCTGCCCCTGGAACCCCTCTCCTGTCCCTGAAATGCCACTGCTACCCCTGGAACCACCCTTCTCCTGCCCCTGGAACCCCTCTCCTGCCCCTGGAACCTCTCCTGCCCCTGGAACATCTCCTGTCCCTGGAACTGCCCCTCTCCTGTCCCTAGAACCCCTCTCCTGCCCCTGGAACTGCCCCTCTCCTGCCCCTGGAACTGCCCCTCTCCTGCCCCTGGAACCCCTCTCCTGCCCCTGGAACTGCCCCTCTCCTGCCCCAGCACCTCCCCAGAGCAGCACCTGTAGCTCTGCCCTGCCGTGGTGCCCCAGCTGGAGCTCAGTGTCCCCCATGTCCCCAGCCAAGGACAGTCCTGTGTCCCTCCAGCCATGGCAGGGGTTCAGCACAGCAATCACCTCACTGAAGCTTTTCAGGCATTCCCAAAATTCCAGTGCTTTCAGTAGTGTTGCCCTGCTTTGTCTTCTCCTGTGCTGATGCTTCCCCAAGTTTTCCTTCAATGCTGGAATGGTTTGGGTTGGAAGGACCTCCAAGCCCATCCAGTGGCACCCCTGCCATGGGCAGGGACACCTTCCCCAGACACTCTAAGAATACTCTTAAATGCTAAGAGTCATTAAAATGTATCATGCAAAATCACTGAAGTCATTAAAAGTCACCAGGGGGTTTATTTTATACATTGTGTATTGCAGCAGGTGCTTGGTGGAATCACAGAGAAACCAAGGCTGGCAGAAACCTCTGGAGCCCCCAAGCTGCTGCTCAAAGCAGGGTTAATTCCAAGGTGGACCAGGCTGCTCAGGCCTCATCCCACCAACCTGGGATTATTTCAGGCTCTGCCACCTCTGCTGGTCCTGGCCCAGCACTTCCCATCCCATTCACAGCAAAATTCAGCTGCAGTGAACTCCCATTTTTCACTATCCCTTCCCATGGCCCCTGTGCAGCACAGCTGCTCCAAGGGTAAATCCATGGGAGCGTGCTGGGCACTGCAGAGATGAATTACTGCAGTCAGAAATAACACAAACCCCACCCTGAGGTGGTTTTTCCAAGGGTAAAAGTCTCTGCATTCCCTTGGGGTGATTATTTCTATAGAAAGCCTCTTCCTTTGGGGGAATGCTGCCTCCCTGCTGCCCCAGTTACCCACTTTGGTAAATAGTTTGTGAGCTTCCTCAGGCGCTCATGTCCCCCAGCTCACTCCCTCTCCCAGTGGGACCCAGTCTGCTGTGGATGGCTGACACTGCAGCAGAATCCTAGGTTTAGCTACAGAAATAATTTCCAAAATTATTTTGTTTCTTGGAACTTCTAAGTAGAACATTTCTCCCTCTGATAAGGCACCTGCATTTTTCACTGAAAAAGCTAAATTATTTGCACACCCAGTTCTACGACTGCAGACAGGATTCAGAGCTCTTCCCTACCCAGGGCACTGATCCACCTGAAATAAAATTCCCTGAACTTTACCTTTTAGATCTTTGAAACATTTCATGCTTGGGAATTGCTCTTCTTTTTTCTCTCATCAGGAAACCTGAATGGAAAATTTTGAGATAAGGGAACGATGAACGAGTTTGTTACTGCAACAATGTGAGTCCTTTGTAAGTTTTATAGAAGTTCTTACAAAAAAACTCTTTACAAGATCTTACAGACAACAGGCTTAAATAACTGTAATGGCTTTAGGAGAAATACATAGAAAATAAACACACCCTGAAGCATAATGTGGGGTTCATGAAACCAAAGAATTCAAAGCAGAGCCCTGGAGTACCTCGGTTGGACACCAGGTGATTTGCAGTCCTGCAGTCTCTTCTCCTCCTGGCAGGCTGCACCAGCTGCTGGGCTGGCAGCAGTGTTTCCCTCTGGGCTGGCAGCAGCTGGTCCCTCTGGGCTGGCAGCAGTGTTTCCCTCTGGGCTGGCAGCAGTGCTTCCCTCCGGGATTTGTGCAGCCTCCTCTCCTCGCGGAGCAGCCGCAGGTGCCGCAGGCGCTGCCCCGAGCGCGAGATGAAATCGGGGCGGTGCAGGGCCAGCGCCTCCTGAGGGGACACAAACACCCCAAGCTGGGGCTGGCAGCTGCAGGGGAGACCCAGAACACCCACCACCAACCCCAGAGCATGGAAAAAATCCCCTCACAATATTGGGTGTAAGATAAAACTCCTGTCCTTAACGCCAGCAGCCTCTGAGCCTCTGCTTTAACAACGTGGAAATAAACTGGCCAGAAAAAAAAAAAACCAAAATAATAAGAAAGAATAATAAAAACTAATTCTGATCTCATACTATGTACACCTCAGTACTGTTTCTGCATGGAAACAAGTGTGATGGGATATTCTGTCAGCTACATCCCCTTGGCTCCTGAAGCCAAGGGGTTCAATTGCTGTAATACCAGACCAAGTCAAGTACTGGGGCAGTAACTTGGGGCAGCATCCTGGGGAAAGCCAGAGTGCCAGAGCAAGCCAGGATGTGCCCCAGCAGTGCCTGGCTCAGGTGCCTCACCTGCAGGGTGAGTTTGCCCAGGGGCTGCCCCAGCCCCCTGCCAGCCCCCGGGGGTGTCACTGCTCCCTGGCCCAGCCTGGGCTGCTCCTCCCGGTTCTTCTCCCTCAAGGGCTCTCTCCAGGGCTTTGTGCTGCTCCAGGGCTCAAACCAGGCTGGCCCAGGGCCAAGAGTGGCACTGCACTGGTTTTCTTTCCTTGATTCACATTCCAAGTCCTCTGCTGGGACGAGCCATGCAGTCCCTGTTAAAAGAGCACGGGAGAGAAAGAAGATTTGAGGCAATTTGTGCCTGTTGTCCATCCCAATCCATGGTCCTTTATTCCTGCAGGAATGAGGGGACACAGCCAGGAGAGGTGATGCCAGCTGAGCCAAGGGGCATCCCAGCTCACAGTCAGGAGACAGAGCTGAGGGAAGAGGAAGGGGAGCACTTGGAATGATGGTGCTTTGACCTTCCAAGTCACATCAGGCACAATGGAGCTCTCCTGGGGATGGGAAAGTGGGCAGGGGCCCTCCAGGATCCCTCCAGGGCCTACAGGGGGTTCCAAGGAGGCTGCAGAGGGACCTGGGACAAAGGAAAAGAGTCTGAAGCTGAAGGAGGGCAGGTTTACACCAGATATGGGGAAGGAATTGTTCCCTGGGAGGGTGGGGAGAGACCGGCACAGGAATTGCCAGAGCATTCCCAGCTGTGGCTGCCCCTGGATCTCTGGCAGTGCCCCAGGCCAGGCTGGACACTGGGAGCAGCCTGGGACAGTGGGAGGTGTCCCTGCCATGGGAGGGGTGGCACAGGGTGGGCTTTAAGGTCCCTTCCCCCCTAACCCATTCCAGGATTCTCCAAGTGCAGAATGAGTTCCTTGTCTGGCTGTGCTCGTGTGGCTTTTCCTTGCCCTGTTATCCTGTCTCTCTCCCAATCCAGTGGCTTCCCCACTCTCACCCTCCCATCCTGTCCCACATCCCTCAGAAGGGAAGGACCAGGGGTTCAACCACAGCAGTGCCCAGGTTTGCAGCTAAACCCAGCCAGGACCAGCACTGCAGCAACCCCGCACTGCAGCTCAATTTCTGTAGGAAACACCTTGGGCAGGTTCAAGAGAATTCCTTCCCCAGCAAGCCTTTATTAACCACCACTTCTGAAAAGCCCACAACTGTTCATTTTCCCTGTTTGCCTCCATGGAAAGAACAGTTATTTACCAGCAATCACACATTTTTAAGGAGTCTTTCTGCTGGCCTAAGCCCTGTGGCTCTTTATCCACGTTTTGGAAGATCATATGCTTTTCATCTCCCAAATGCTCAAAAGATCAAATGCTTTCCATCTCCCAAATGCTCAACGTGTCTCCAGGAATTCAGTTACTCACAGTTTACACACACAATGATGTGAATACATCAGCTGGGATTCTGAGCAGATATTCTGAATTCTCTAAATTAAACCCTTATGACAGAGAATGATCAGTCCCCACAACAACAACAGTGATGAGTAAGGGAAATATTTTTAAACATTTAATTGTGACGTTATGAAGAGTGGCAGGAATTTAAGAGAAAAAAAAAAAAAATGTCAGGAGACTCCACCAGCAGCCTAAAAATGCAACTCTCAAAACCAGTCGAGCTCTTCCCAATTTTCACCCAAGTGCTCTGGAAAAAACTTCTGGGAAGCCTCAGGGCATGAGACATTAAGGACAAGTTGGTGACCAGCACTGAGAGTTCAACAGAACCTTTGTGTCTCAGAAGTTCATGTTAAGCACCTACAGGATTGCCAGGTCTCCACCTTGTTTATTCCTCTCCATGAGTGCATTTCCTGCTGTAACAGCTGTTTCATGGCTGAAACTGCCATCAGAAGCCAGCACTGCAATGCCCTGGCAGGGTCTGGCTGAAGTCCCATGAAATCCCAGTAGGAGGAGGCAGTGGCAGGGTCAGCTCTGTCTGTGGGGGCCCCTGACCTGCCAGGGAGAGGGCAGTGGGAATGCCCTGGGGAGAGGCACCTCGGGCTCTGGGCATAGCTCAGGGTGAGGAAAGAGCCTTCCCCCATGGTGCTCTGCAGCACTGTGCTAATTTATTCCAGTTCTGTCCTGCCCAATGCCTGTTGGCCTTCCCTACCCCTTTCACCCTGTACGTTCATGTTCTAGAGAGTTCTCCCTTCCCTGTTACCCCCTTGGTTTATGTAACCCTGCCCATCCACCCTGGCATCCCCTGTTGAGTGGAACCCTCTGAATCCTCCCCCCAGGGAAATCCCCAGGGATTGTTTTGCCTTGGAAGGATCTGCCATAGAGTTTCCCCACCTGGCTGCTGGAGAGGACTGAGCCCACAGTGCTCTGAGTGCTACTGCCAACCCACATCAGACTGCCTCCCCCATGGGCCAGCTGCCCCTGCTCACCCCAACTACTCATCCCTCACTGCCCCTGCAGGCTGCTGCCCTCTGCCCACCCCTGTGCCCTCAGGTCACTGACCCCATCCTTGAACCTGTGCACACTCCATGGTTTGGTCTCTGTCCCTGATCCTTTGGTGTGCTTTGGAATAAACCCTCACTGGAATGCATCATGTAAAGGCCCTTCCTGTGCTTCCTCTGCTGAGCCATCTGTGCTGTGTGTATGTGTGTGTGTGTGCATGGCCCTGAAATGCTGTTCTGGTGGCCTTACTCTGAGCAGCTTCTGAAGGAGACACCTGGAGGAAGGCTGCAGCATTTCTACCACCCTGCCATGCTGCAGCACTGTCAGTCCCTTCCCTGTGTGCCACCCCTGAGCCCTCAGACCTCTGGATCCCCGATTCCCTCCTCCTGTATTTAAACACTGGAGCCTCCTTTGTGTTTGTCTCTGGCCCCTGGCTGCCTTCAGCATTGTCTGAAATGAAGCACATTGGAACTCCATGCTGGACCCCCCTGTGCCTTCACCCCCGAGCTGCTGTGTGTGTGTTGAGATGTGAGGTTAGGAATTAACTGAGGTTAGAAACCCATTCCAGATTTAGGTGAAGTGTGCTGCTTTGAACTGTTTAGTCTGTAGAGTTTATCCATTTGCTGTGCTTGTAAAAAACCTGTGCTTGCAACAGCCTGCAGCTCACAAAGCTGCCTCAAACAAGGTGAAAAGAATGTGAACTTCCAAGCTACAAGAAAATAAGAGGGGCCTCTTAGACCTTAAAACAAGATGCAAACCAAAACTAAAGCTGCAGGAGATGGATGGACAACCAGAGAGCTCTCCACTGGTCAGAACTAATTGTGATAAATAAATATGCACAAACCTATTGCAAAACTTAATGCATAGCAACAGGTTAAGGGACAAAAAGGAAGTTTAGACTCTCAAAGGCACACAAACCTTTAGAAATGATTCAGCTTGTGGGTGCTGTGCTCTTGTGGCTCCTGCCCCTTGGCACAGGATGTTCAGGGGCAGGGTGTGTGCACCACCACCACCACAGGCTGTGCCACAGCCCTGGCTGCCCCCAGCCCTGCCCTGGCTGTCCCCAGCCCTGCCCAGGTGTCCCCAGCCCGGTCCTGGGTGTCCCCAGCCCGGTCCTGGGTGTATCTGGCCCTATTCCAGGTGTCCCCAGCCCTGTCCCAGGTGTCCCCAACCCTGTCCCAGCTGTCCCCAGCCCTGTCCCAGCTGTCCCTAGCCCCGCCCTGGCTGTCCCCAGCCCTGTCCCAGCTGTGCCCAGCCCTGTCCCAGCTGTCCCCAGCCCTGTCCCAGGTGCTGACCTTGCGGGAAGCGCAGCCTGCTCCTCCTGGTCTGTGTGTCTGTCAGGATCCTGCCCGGGGCTGCTGCCAGGCTGTGCCCTGGCCCTGCCCAGGTGTCCCCAGCCCTGTCCCAGGTGTCCCCAGCCCTGCCCCAGCTGTCCTCAGCCCTGTCCCAGGTGTCCCCAGCCCTGCCCCAGCTGTCCCCAGCCCTGCCCGGGTGTCCCCAGCCCTGCCCTGGCTGTCCCCAGCCCTGTCCCAGCTGTCCCCAGCCCTGTCCCAGGTGTCCCCGGCCCTGTCCCAGGTGTATCTGGCCCTGCCCTGGCTGTCCCCAGCCCTGTCCCAGCTGTCCCCAGCCCTGCCCCAGGTGCTGACCTTGCTGGAGGCGCAGCCTGCTCCTCCTGCTCCGTGTGTCTGTCAGGATCCTGCCTGGCTGTGCCCTGGCCCTGCCCAGGCTGTCCCCAGCCCTGTCCCAGGTGCTGACCTTGCTGGAGGCGCAGCCTGCTCCTCCTGCTCCGTGTGTCTGTCAGGATCCTGCCCGGCTGCTGCTGCCAGGCTGGGCCCTGGCCCTGCCCCGGGGGCTCCCACAGCTGCTGGCTGCTCCTGGGCGTGGGGAAGGTCACCCCAACGTCCCGGGTGTTCCTCTTGGTGGCGCTGCTGACGATCTCCAGGTCCCCTGGAATGGAAACCAAGCAGGGACACCTCAGTCCCGTGTGCCAGGGCAGGCAATGACCCCACTCCAGCCAGGAGTGAAGAATCACCACATCCTTCACCCACCTCCAACAGTCCAAACCTTTCACATTTCTATTTTACACTTCCCCAAACCAAGGAGAGTTTCCAGTGGCTCAGGATTGTTACTGAATGATAATCTGAGGGAAACTAAAACCAAATACCCCAAGCGAAATATACATTTATCTGGGGGTGGGAATTCAACTGGAATTAACTCTGCCCTATGAAAATCCTTCCCTGATTCAATCTGCTTGCACACAAGCAGGAATAAATAAATAATTGCTGTATCTGATGAATAAACCAGGGCCATTACTCAATGTGATGATGGGGAGTTGGCGTGGAAATGAAAGCAATGAAGAAACTGCTAATTGCCACCAGAAAAAACCCAACTGCAGAACTGCACCAGGCCAGGAGCAGCTCGGGACTGAAATAGAATCTAACACCCAAAATATTCCCAGGAAGAACACGGAACACTGCAGTTGCCTTCTGAAATAGCATAAGCCTACAAAACCCATTCTGGGAGGAACAGATGTCTTGGGGAAAAAACAATAGATAAAAAAGGCAGCTCACCTTTGCCATTGAAATGGAGCAGAAGGTGAGGTTAAGAAACTTACAAGTGAGAAAACTGGTTTTTAAAGCAGCCCAAAAATGGCAATTAAACAGCTCACGTTCACTGAACACATCACCCTTCCCTGACAGCAGCTGGAGTGAATTTGGAGGGTGCTGCCTGCACAGACCCATGCCCAGAACCCCCAGACTGTGAAGGACAGGTTCCAAAGCAGGAGAGGCAGGAGGAGCCCAGGGAGGGGTGGGATTCAGGGCCTCACCTGCCTGGATCCCTTTGTTCAGCATCCGTGCCCGTCTCTTGTGGCTCAGGGCACAGCTGGGTCCCCAGGAGCTGCTGCTGGCACAGCTGGAGTCTGAGAAGGGCATGGTGCTCTGCAAAAACAGGCAAGGGAACAGGAATTCCTGAAATTCCAACCAGAGCCAGCAAACAGGATTTAAACAGAAAGGAGCCATTGCTTTTCCCTCAGTGTACCTGGGTTCTGTTGCTGTTAATGCTGAGCCCAGGCTGATCCGTCCCCCTGCCCTCACAAAACCCAGCCCTGGCCCCACCCCATGCGCTTCCAGCAGCCCAGTTTGGTACATTATTGAAAAGCACATTAGCTACATTACAAAAGCACATTATTTCTGTGGGAAGAGCTTGCTGGCATCAGTCAGGACAGCACTGGGCATCCTCCAACCCACCTGGGGCTGTTCAGCTGAAGGGAGAGCTCAGAGGGACTGGGGACAAGGAGGGAGGGACAGCACACAGGGAATGGCTCCCAGCGCCAGAGGGCAGGCATGGATGGGATCCTGGGAACTGGGAATTGTTCCCTGGCAGGGTGGGCAGGCAAAACCCTCTTAAAGCAGGGGAAGCTCCCTCACCCTGTGACCCTCAGCACAGAGTCCTGCAGGTGGGAGAAATTCAACTCCACAAATGCAAGAAACAGGAGGGACATGGAAGGAGCAGGGCTGAGGGCTGAGGGCAGTGTCACACCTTCATTGACACCAAGCCAGGTGTGAAAGCTGCAGGGCTGGACACAGCTGGCACATCACACATGGATTTCAGTTAATAAAGCCATTCAAAGCAGGAAGGCTGTCCCAAGCCTTGGCTCTGGGGGTTTTGTTATCACCAGTGCAGCACCTCCAGGCTCCCAGCACACCCTGACAGTGCTCACAGCTTCCCTGAGCTCCAGCTCTAATTACAGAACTGCAGTCAGGAACCTGGAAATTAACTGTGAGTGTCCTGTGAGCAACCCCCAAGAGCAGCCCCCTTACTCCCTTTCACTGGAGCTCTATCACCCCAAACAAAACCTCAATACTAGGAGGAGGCCATGGAAATGCAGAGGCCCCTTTATTCCCTTTCACTGGAGCTCTATCACCCCAAACAAAACCTCAATGCTAGAAGGAGGCCATGGAAATGCAGAGGCCTCTTTATTCCCTTTCACTGGAGCTCTATCACCCCAAACAAAACTTCAGCAAAAACTTGGCAAAAACGTGTCAAAGCAGGGAGAAAAAACCCCAAATCTGCCCTTGCCCTGCCCAGCAGCAGCCCCCCAGCCTGGGCAGTGCCAGAACACTCCTGCTGGCATGGGGATATCCTGGGAATATGCATATCATGGGAATATGCTCTGGAGCTGCACATGCAGAAGGCTGGGGGCAGCTTTTGTGGAGCAGGGCTGACAGTGGGCTCCCAAAGCTGAGCTCCAGATGCAGCATTCCCCCAGGGACTGGGGCAGGCATCTCTCTGGGAGCTGGGCTCCTGCTCAGAACCAGACATTTGCACTAAAAATACAAATAAATCTTGACTTCTCGTCAGCTAAACAGCCCAGAAGTGACCAAAATTGGAATTTTAAATTAAATTTGCTGTTTTGCCATCCATCTTCTCTCACTCCTTATTTGAGGGAGGGCACATGTGTCTTCAGATGGATTTTTTAAAAAGAATATTTCATCAGCAGATAAAAAATGTGAGTTTCTAAAGCCATGGGCGTTCAGTGAGCCTTTAAAGGCTTTATTCCCCATAGCATTAATTCCATTTGTCATCTCACAGGTGATTTAACAGGTTAAAAAATCAGATTTGGGTTTAAGGTTCAATGGACCCTGAAAAAGTCATCTTGTGAATGGAACATGGAATAAAATCATCTTCTGAATTCTACAACTGTGCCAGAAATGTTGGATCCTAATGCTGGTGTTCTGGTTAATAGTCCTAACATTGCATAGTTCAGAACAGTTTTATTTTACCTCCAAATAAATGTTATGGATAAAAATATTAAATAATGTTTAATATATTTATTAAATAAATAAATAAATAAATAATATTATTAATAAAAATTAACTAAAATATTTTTAAACCATTCTTCACCTTCAAAAATATTGTTTCTTCCCCAGATTAATTTTGTTATTGGCATTATTTTTCATTATTTCATAATTCACTGGCTTATTTTATAACCAGACTTGGAGTTGTTTCTATAAAATAAAATAGTAATTTAAATTAAATCTGGTAGTAATGACGCCAGTTCCACTTTCATCTGGAAATACAAAAAAATGAAAGAAGTAATTCAATATTCCTCATTCGTTCTGTACTTTTCAGCATTCCTGTGGATTACAGAACCCCTGAACTCTGTAATTCCTTACTAAAATCACCAAATCCAGGCTGAGTCCCAGTTAAGAACATTTCCATTTCTCCTGCCAAGGGCAACAGCCAAATTCACCTGAAGGAATTATTCCCTCCCCTTTCAAACAGCTGCACGGCAGAGCTCTCACCTGGAATTCTCAGCTCTTTAAAGAAAAAACCTCACAACCCGCCAGCCAAAACAATTTACACATTTTTACAAGCCCATCAGCAGGGAAACTCCAATAATTGTATGGATCCTTGCCCAGGGATGTCCTGGCTGGAATTTCCATCAGATTTACAACCTCACTGAGCCTGCAGGTACCCAAGGACTGGGACAGCAGGGTCTGTTCCCAAGGGAATGGACACGAGGAGGGCACAGCCAGGTGCTGGGTGCCAGCCTGAGCTGTGCATGGATCCATTCCCAAGGGAATGGACACAAGGAGGGCACAGCCAGGTGCTGGGTGCCAGCCTGAGCTGCTGCCCTGGCTCTGCATGGGTCTGTTCCCAAGGAAATGGACACAAGGAGGGCACAGCCAGGTGCTGGGTGCCAGCCTGAGCTGCTGCCCTGGCTCTGGATGGGTCTGTTCCCAAGGGAATGGACACAAGGAGGGCACAGCCAGGTGCTGGGTGCCAGCCTGAGCTGCTGCCCTGGCTCCTGCAGACCTCAGATGGGTCTGCCCCCGTGGAAGGCAGAAGCTTCCCCTGCAAACCAGTGATTCCCAGTGATTGATTCCCAGTGATTGATTCCCAGTGATTCCCAATGATTCTCAGAGATTCCCAGTGATTCCCAGTGACTCTCAGTGATTCCCAGAGATTCCCAGTGACTCTCAGAGATTCCCAGAGGTTCCCAGTGACTCTCAGAGACTCTCAGAGATCCCCAGTGATTCCCAGTAACTCTCAGTGATTCCCAGAGGTTCTCAGTGATTCTCAGAGATACCCAGTGATTCCCAGAGATTCTCAGTGGTTCCCAGTGATTCTCAGAGATTCCCAGTGACTCTCAGTGATTCCCAGAGGTTCTCAGTGATTCCCAGAGGTTCCCAGTGACTCTCAGAGATTCCCAGAGGTTCCCAGCTCACAGAGCTGGCAGCAGTGGGGGTTCCCATGGGGATGGGGCAGGGCTGGGCTCAGGGAGCTCTTACCTGGCTCTGCTGTCCCTTCCCGAGGCTCTGAGCAGCTCCCTGGGGACATCCTGCAGCCCCAGCTCCTCCACTCTGCTCCTGCCACTTCTCAGAGCGCCTCTTCTGCTGGCTGATGGCACGGTAGAGCCGGGCCAGCCTCGGGGACAGCTCTGGGGACAGCTCTGGGCACAGCTCTGGGGCTGGGCTCGGAGTGTTGGTGCTTGGGGCCAGCCTGTGCTGCCCAAAGGCGCGGAGCAGCCTGGCCGTGTCGATGGTGGACAGGGACAGGGAGCTGCTGTCCCCAGAGGCAGGGGAGGTGTCCAGGCCTGTGCCTGTGTCCCACGCCGAGGTGCTGCAGGTGCTGCAGCTGCTGGGCTCTTTGCTCAGCCTGCTCTCTGAGGAGCTGTCACTGGGG